ACTTTATTACATACTTAGTAAGTAGTATTCTGCTTTTAAGTAATATTCTACTTTAACTCTGATCTGTATTTAAAGCTAAAAATAGCTGTACTCCACTTATTTGTTCCCTCAAAATTCACCCAAATAAAATAGGAATAATATTTTTTTCTGCCAATTCAACTATAGCAATTGAGAATCCAATGATGAACAAAAAGATGCAATCAAAATGTTTCCAAAATATTCATGCTTATCAATAATTTCTAGGGTAAGTTTCAAAAACTTTCCCTAAAATGATTGAAAAGGGAAAATCACTCTAAGAACTAAAGGATTGCTTATAATATTTCTGAAAAGCCTAAAAAGTACTCTTAAGTCTAAGTGTGTTTTCAACTGAGCATGAGGAAAAGGGAGGGGGAAGGAATGGAGGAAATGGGAGAGAGGGCTGAGGGTGTTCAAAGTAAGAAAGAGTAGTTCTGTGATTCCTGAGCTTCATCTGGAAAAGTTTTCTGGAAACTTTTCTGGAAAAGTTGTGAATTCAGGGCCTCATGCTTGCTAAGCCAATACTGTACAAAATAGTTGAGCCATTTCACTAAGGGGGGATCTATATTTCATGATATCCATTATAAAGTGTCACTCTGCTTTCGCTCCTTGAGTTTGCCAATGGCGTTCTATGAGATTTTTCTCAGTTCTAAGTAGGAACTAGATTTGCAAGCCACAGGATGAGCAGAATAGTCACCTTCAATTGTTTCTATCCCACTGTCTTAGGGGAACAGTGATAATGGCTATAGATTGAGATGTTTTGGTCAGAGTATATCACCTTTTAAACTGTGAGGATTTAGAAAGAGTCACATATTACTAACAGCACATTTGAATACCCTAATCAGGTCTGCCTAACCTTGCATTCTGACAGTGACTCAAGGCTGCACAGTTGCGTAGTTGCTAGCCACTGCCTCTTACCAAGAAGTACCATTTCACATGTAAATCCATGCACAACTGATTCCCACAATTAGTACTTAGGGAGGTTTTGAGGTTTTTTTTTAAACCTTTTCAGCATCTACATATGTATGGATACTTACTAGATACTAGATGTGTGTTGAATGAGGAGATACCTTGTCCATAAGCTTACTTTTTCCAATATTGTTTATAAACAATGAAACAAGCCCATGGTTGGGTTTAACCCTAATTTTAACTGAAAGTACAAATTCTAAATTTATCTCTTTTTTGTTTCTCCTCTTTATAGCAGATATTGTTAACCTCATTCTTCCTGAGGTTATCAAGTGGTAGAGTACTAGCCTTGAGCAAAAGAAGTTCAGGGATCGTGCCTAGTCCCTGAGTTCAAGCCCAAGGTTGATATCAGGAAAAAAAAAAGAGGACAAAAATAAAGAGACATGCTAAAACAAATTGTTATATATGAATGAAGACATTTCACAGCCTTAGAAATGCCTGTGGCTATAATAATGTGCATAAGAAAAAGGTGCTGATGTTGTCATAGTGCCTTTGAAATGTTTGACATCATCTACTTTAAGAGTCATGGGAAAGAACACTGACTAACACCGGTGAAATAGGACAAAATGTATGCCTAATTTAAGACTTCTTCCTTCCTTCTTGAATTCCTTTCTCAACATACCCCTCCCCTCCACCAAAAAAAATTCCTTCTCCTAGCAGAAAACTACCTATTTAAGAAGGGATGCAGAAGTAACAGAAGTAAGCCAGGTCCAAAGAAACATAGGTCCCATGGTTTCCCTTATTTGCAATAACTAGTGTATGTCTAGGACAAGCAGAAAAGGTCAAAAGCTATGTACATATGACCATATAAGATGATTCTAAGTGAATGAACCCCAAGATAGAGACACAAGAGGTTTTATCTTTCTTGCTGTTGTTTTTAATGTATTTATAATACACTATGCGATTTTTTTTGTTTCTTTTGTATGTTCTTCCCCCATTGTATAACCTGTTTTCACTGTATTTTATTCTGGTATCCTGAATCTTGTACATATATTTTTCTAATTTGGGGAGGGGATGGAAAATAACAAAATGCTGAAATAAGGACACAGGTTGACCCATTGTAACAATGAGATATGCAAGACACTATGTTGATAAGGAACTTTACAACTTCGGGGGTTGGTGGGAGGGAAGAGTTGGGAGATGGGGAAGGGATGGTAGGGGAAAATCAAAGGAGGAGGTAACAATGCTCAATAGGAAATGTACTCATTACCTTACTCATGTAACGTAGCCCCTCTGTACAGTATGTTTACAATAAAAAATATACAAAAAATAAGTGATGTAAAAGCCAGACCACAAGAATGTTGGAGTAGAATGAACTGTCTTTCTGTAATAAATGTTCAGCTTTTATCGTGTGTCAGACTTCCGTATGACACTGACAATATGACATTGCTTGTGGATTTCAATTGGACATTGTCTCTTACAGATCAGCCAAAATGGTGCATTTTTAGTAGTAATGGCTCATGTATGAGTTTCCTATTTGTACCTCAGATATCATATGCTGTCACTTTCTCCTGTGCAAAAAAGACTTGAGAGGTTGAATAGTAATGCTGTTTGCAGGTATCATCTCTCGCGCCCCCAGTGAGAGTTTGTAGCTCTTGAAAAACAACTTTGAAGGAAAGCTTTCTGCTTGATGTGGATAGTGGTGAGAGATTATATATACATATATATACATATATGTATGTATGTATGTATGTCATGGAGCCAATGTGAGGTTTTGGCGAGGAGGAAATTCCCAACTGAGCTTGAAGCTGGGCCTGAGATTGAGTATAGTTTCCAAACTGAATAGTCATAAGCAGCCCTTGTGCCTTATGTGTGAACATGCAGGGCAGGAGATTGGAGTTTCTACATATGTTTTAAAAGTTGAAAGGGTGTGAGTGGAATCTACACTTCCTCTCTTCTAATCTCCTGTGGCTATAGCTTGGTCATCCATCTGCCTGCCAAGAAACACCCCCACCCACCCTTCCATTTTACTAAAGCTACAAAGGTGGAGAGGAAAATAGCTATTCATTAATGATAGGTGATGAATTCAATGGGTTACAAGCCCCAGTGCACTATTAAATAAACCTCTATATAAAGCATGAGTCAGTTAGTCCTGCCATACTTGTTTTAGACATCAAGGCAGTTTATCAAGTAAACTTGTATATATTGAAGTATAGATGAATATACTTTTGAGGGTTTTTTCCTATTAGTAGTTTTGCATATTTTTTGTAATCAGAAAATGTTTTTGTAAAATTTTCTACTTTAATTTTTATCAAAATATTTTTAGCCAGGTGCTGGTGGCTTGCGCCTGTAATCCTAGCTACTCAGGAAGCTGAGATCTGAGGATCGCGGTTCAAAGCCAGCCATGAGACGTATGCTGGAAGTGCAGCTATTCCTCAAATGGGAGAGCATTAGCCTTGAATGAAAACACTCATGGACAATGCCCAGGCCCTGAGTTCAAGCCCCAGGACCAAATTAAAATTTTTTGGGGGGGTCCGGTCGTGGGGCATGAACTCTGGGCCTGGGCGCTGTCCCTCAGCTCTTCAGCTCAAGGCTAGCACTCTACCACTTGAGCCACAGCGCCACTTCCGGCTTTTTTCTTTTTGCTTATGTGGTGCTGAGGAATCGAACCGAGGGCCTCAGGCATGCAAGGCAAGCGCTCTACCACTGAGCCACCTTCCCAGCCCTTCAAATTAATATTTTTTAAGTTTAAAGTTTTACTATCTTTAGTTCTATCAAGGGGTTTCAACATGTTAATATGTATGTATAGAGCATCCTCCATCATTCTCCCTTCACCTGTCCTAACACCACACAGCTCATTTTCAAATGACTATTATGATTGTTCACCAACTTACATTTTTGTGGTTGTTTGTTAGGTACCAGTCCTGCAACATTTACTCAGGAGCTGGGCTCTGTCCCTGTCCTTTTTTTTTTTCTTAAGGCCAGCATACTACCACTTGAGCCACAGCTCCATGTCTGGCTTTTTGTTAGTTTAGTGGAGATAAGAGTCTCAGGAACTTTACTGTCAGTGCTGGCTTCAAATTCCATGATATTCAGATCTTAGCCTCCTGAGTAGCTTGGATTACAGGCTTGGGCCACCAGCAGATGGCCTCAAATTATGTTTTCTAATGTACTATAACATTTTCTTCATTAATAATAAACTTATATGAAGGTAGGTAATGTAGGTCATTAAAACCTTAAAATGTCTCCCTCTCTCTCTCTCTCTCTCTCTCATATGTGTGTGTGTGTGTATGTGCGGTATAATGTGTATGTATAGTTTTTTTGCATCTATATACGAAATATCTATTTGGAATAGTTGCAATAACTCAGTTTCTCAGACCTATATAAAATATTCATAAAGTTTTTTCTTGGATATAAATCATTTTCTGGCATTTTACATTGATAGCTCACAGATTTGGATATCTGTAACAGCCGAAATTGATGATCAGATAATGGCCAATTCTAATGTCAAAAATCCTAGGATTACCTTGCTGTCTTTTGTGTTTCCATCCACTTTTTCCCTAGCAGCATTCACTAGGAAATTATTCTCAGAAGTAGCTAATAATCATAGCATGAGCTGTGGTTGTATTTCTGTGCTGTAACTTTATTTTTTAACTAAGATGATAAGATGGATGGCTTAAATTTATATACTAACACAAATTCTATGATTGAGCACTGTAAACACACTGACACACAATTTGTATTTATAATCTCCATTTACCTAGTGTAATGTAGTTGGCCTGTATTCTGTACTGCCATTGCTCTGCGTGGGGATGTAGCTGGGAAAAGATGAATCACTCTTCTCATAGGGTGTTCACTCTGGCCTGGTGGCTCTTCAGACAAGAGTGGATGCTGACTGCTGAATTCCTGTAATGCCATTCTGATCATACACATCTGCCTATCATTCACAGAGTAAACTGGAAAGCATTTGAAGATGATATATGGTAATGTTAGACTCCTGAGAAAGTTTAATTTCTAAGAAGATACTAGAAATCCCATTGGGGGAACTGAAATTCATGGTTTCTTTACTTTCTCAACAGAGTCTGCTTTAGAAGGCCTTGAGGATCTAGGCAAAGCGTATAGCAGCATTGGCCAGCAGCTGAATGAGACACTACGCCACCGCAGACACTCAGGAGAAAACAATTACAACATCGAGGTGCTGCTGGGAGTGGATGACTCTGTAGTCCGTTTCCATGGCAAAGAACATGTACAGAACTACCTCCTCACCCTGATGAACATTGTGAGTAGTGACTCCTTTGTCAGGCTTTTTGATCATTTAAATCACTACTTGATTTGTGAGTATTTTGGGAAAACCTGTACAAGCGCTCCATGACTGTGTCCACTGTCCAAACCATTTACAGATCAAATGTTGATCTACATATTTAAAAATCAAGAGTGCAAAATCAAAAGAAGCATGGAGCAGAAAGTTTCTTTTGGTTTCTTTTTCTGTTGTCATCAAGGGGAAATCATATGTTTTAAAATCCTTATGGGATACAATTAAAATGTCAGTTTATGATTTTCATTTTGCATTGGGAACAGTCAGAACACTTAAGACAGTGAAGGGTGAAATGATTTTTTTCCAGTGTTGCTATGTGTCTCCTGATGATGAATGTCTGGCGTCTATAGTGCTTTTCAACAAATGTGATATATTCAGCATTGTAAGGTAGAAGCTCATAAAACACAACTCTTGGCACAGTGTTACATAGTAGTTGCCAACAATTCCTTTATTTGCTTTTTGATACCTAGGTAAAAATGTCTCTAAATGATAAACTAAATTTACTTTAAAAACTGAAGAAAAAGTAAATGTTTTAATTTGTTCTTCATATCTTCTTATGAGCCTTAGAAGAAATTTTGTCTGCATCCTCAAGCTGATGTTCTTTGTCTGAAAATTAGCAGAGAGCAATTGTTGAAAATGAATAATAATGTGCAATATGAATAAATAGTATACAGGCCACCTAATTGTAAAAGAATAGTCAAGATAGAATTATATGCTTGTATGTTTTACTCAGGCCATGTAAAAAGACATGTTACACTGAACTTGCAAATTTATTACCTAATCCTATCTTCTCTGTTCTTTGGCTTTGCATTTGATTCTTAATTTAATTTCTCTGGGCAATGTTGTTTACCTTGTTTTCCATATTTAAGATTAGATTTTTTTTAATAATTCTGGTGGAGAAAAATTCTTACCAGTGATCATGATTGTTTACTTATTAATACTTGAGCCTATATGTTTGGGTTTTTTGTTTTGTTTTGTTTTGCCAGTCCTGGAAACCAAGCTTCTTTTGCTCAAGGTTGGCACTCTACCACTTGAGCCATAGTGCCAATTTTGGCCTTTTCTATTATGTGATACTGAGAAATTGAACCCAGGGCTCCATGCATGCGAGGCAAGCACTCTATCACTAAGTCACATTCCTAGCCAAATAGCTCCTTTTTTTTGCCAGTCTTTGGGCTTGAATTCAAGACCTGGGCACTATCCCTGAGCTTCTTTTGCTCAAGGCTAGCACTCTATCACTTGAACCATAACACCACCTCTGGCTTTTTCTGTTTATGTGGTACTAAGGAATCAAACCCAGAGCTTCATGCATGCTAGGCAAGCACTCTACCACTAAGCCACATTCCCAGCACATTGAGCCTTTAACATATAGTTAAACATATTTTTTTATTCATTGGGATGTCAGTTTATAAAAATGTACATATATCGTGCTGCTATGATATAGAAATGAGTATAGACATTCAAACACATTTTTTTATTTTTGGCAGTACTGGGGTTTGAATTCAGGGTTGCCTAGATGACACCTGCTAGATAGGTGCTTTTTTCCTTGAGTCAAACCCCTAGCCCTTTTAAAAAATATTTTTGAAACAGGATCTCACATTTATGCCTAGACAAGCATGAAGCATGATCTAGTTTATGCTTTCTATGTAGATGGAATGATAGGTACAAGCTACTATGCTCAGCTTGTATTGGTTGGGATAGGGTCTCACGAACTTTTTACCCAGGCTAGCCTTAAACTGCAGTCCTTCAATTTCACCTTCCAAATTAGTTAGACTTTATAGACATGAGCCCACCATGCTTGGCTCTCAAACATAGTTTAATTTGTTCATTGGCATTCATTCCTATTATGAAGACAAAATAACATTTTGAGCAAGTTACTACATTCGGAATAAGTATGGGTAAAGGAATCATTGTGAATTCTGTTTTTTCAGCTCTTGTCTATTAACTTTTTATGTGGGTCGATAGTTGTATAATGTTGGGCTTGCTACTTAGGCTTCCATGTCAAATTTTATTTTCAAATTGTCTTAAGACTTCAGTGTTCCTACATAGATGCTGTTTTTACATCATCCATTATATCCCTGTACAACTTCCTTTTATCCCTAGAGAGACTGTCAGTTAGTGTAGATATTTATTAGGCTTCTAAGTGGTAACCAGAACTACAGAAAACTCTAAAGTGATCTTTGCCCTCATGCAACAGAGAATCACAGACAAAACAGATGGTAAGCACTATAGTTTAAATGGTACAACATCTTTTAAAAAGGGAGATGTGACCACAGTCATCCCATTCTTCATGTGTTAAGAGCATTACATTAGGCTGCTTTAGGTCTAACCTTACTTATCACTGGCTGACTCTGGGACCTTAGAAATATCATACCCCTTTCTTGGTCTTCATTTCCATGCTCTTAAATTTGGAAAATTCAACAGATGTTCATTAAGTATATTGTTTATCCAGAAGCTAAGGATTTATACTGTGTCTTTGGGAATTTGTTTTTATGTCCTTTATTTTTATATTTTGAGAAAAGCAACATTCTGGAAGCAGGTATCACTTAGCCAGGCACACAGTTGGTGCTGTTGCAGTCTGAGTTCATAACCTACTTCTAACTGCTGTTCTACACAACTGGCTTCCTGGGTGAGAAAGGAATAGGAGGAGGAAATGAGGCAATGTATTGGAATGCTGGGGTCCAATTATACTAGGCCTTCAATGCCAGGCTAACATGTATATATTGGATTGTACACAGAGTGAGAATAGTATGATTGGCTTTAGCCATCAGAATTCTGCTTATCTGTATAGAGTAGGGAGAGTGAAGCAAGCCCATGTGAGAATGAAGGAAGACTGAACCAAAGTGGAAACATGGGAATGGAGAAGGGGAGAATAAAATAGGGAAATTGTGTGTTGAACAAATACATTTCTTGTTCTTATTTTGCCAGGACTTTGTGATTTGTATTTAGTAATTTCAAATTAATTGACTTCATTAAGTAACATAAAACAAGAATCATTATGTTATTTACAGCTCTTCTTGAACTGTATTGAAACAAGCTTGGAATCATGAAGAAGTAATTGAAAATGAGTTAAGTAGATCTTTGGAAACAATCTGGTAATAGTCAGCACAAATATATCATTATCTGTACAACTGTTTGTTAATCTCCTAAACTGTGCTGGTGTGGGTGTTAGGTATTTTAAAAGTAGATAAAAGCATTTGAGAGAGATAAGGATAATCTTGTAATCTTCCTTTCTGGAGAGCCACGGAAGTAGGCTTGTCACCCAAATACAAACATTTGCAGCAAGTATTAACAGATTGTTTTGGCAGGCAGGTGAATTGGACAGATACTAACCCGCTGGGTATGGAAGTAGAGAGAATGGGTCATGGGCTTGATAATACATTCTCATATGTGGAGAAGAGGTAGAGCTAATAGATGCCCAGGTCCTTTATTAAATTTGTATGTGTTAAACTGTACATAGTAGGGAGTTGCATTTTGACATTTCCATCCAATGTACTTTGATATTTCTCATTGCTCTCTCTTAAGGATTTCTGTCTTTAACTGTGGTAAGATATTCAGGAGAGAACAAGTTTCATGGCAAAGGTCGATTGCACAGTAAAGTGAATAGGTAACATCTCCATCTCAGTAGATCTGTTATGAGCCTGAACAGATGTCTCTGAAATTCAAGAGATAGATGAGTCAGGGCTAGATACCCATGTGGAATTCATCCACCTGTGAGTATGGTTTGAAGCATTGGTAGTGAATGAATATCACAAGGAAGAACATCTGAGAAGGGAAGGGGGGATTTTTTTTTTATATAAAAAAAGGGAAGGGGGTTGAAGAATGAACCTTGAGAACTGCTGATGTGCATGTGCTGGGCAGAAGAAGGGGAGCTAATCTTGCCAAAGACACAGGACACTGTGAATGAAGAAAGACACAGGCCAGTACTGCATGCCACAAAATCTCATAGGCTGTTTTTTTTTTTTTCACAAAGGCAAGCGGGGAATTTTAGGAAAATTAACTCTGGAAAAAGAGTGATTAAATAAAGGATAGAGAGGGTTGATCCTTTGGAGTAAATGAAAGGAAGTGAGAAGGAACAAGAAATGGAACTTCCACCATCACAGGAAGGTAGTGGTGGAAAGAGAATGGCATTAACAGCACGTGGACTTGATGGCTTTTGTTTTGCTAATCATGTGGAGGAAGTGTTACTTGTGTCTCAGTCACTGCACATGGCAGTAGTAATGAGTCCCCTCCACAGGGTTTGGAACTTCCTCAGACATGGCTGGCTTTTGCACTCACTCTATTGTGTGTGTTGTTCTTTCCTCAAAGTGTCCCAAGATTATGTCAGTCCTGTCCTTGAGTCACTCTGCCGTGGCTAGCAAGTTTCATGTAGCACACACAATCCTCTTCTCCTTTTATCTCATTACTCATTTTCTTGCTAGCACCTGTTGCCATCTAAAATTTTATACTTGCATTTTTCAGTTAATTTTTTTCTCTGATTTAGCCTGTTTTCTTTTTCCCCCACTAGCATACACGTTTGATAAGAGCAGAGGGTCAGACTCACTTCCTGTGTAGCTGCACAATCCTATGGTATTTAAGCACAGAGCAAATGTTCAAAAATAGTTGTTAACAGTAATAATACATAGCTATTAGTAATATGGGCTTGGAGTAGACAGAAGAAGAATTAGCATATTGGGAGAGATCTACCTACTGATTGGATTTTTTTAGAATGGTATTTATTTCATAGAACATCTTGAAATTCTTTTATTTACATCCAGAATCGCCAGGGCTATCTTCTCATTAGCTAACCAAACGTCTCTGAAAAAAATTCATACATATGTTCAGTTTAGTTCAATGTGAAAACTCCAATAATACAGTTATTTTTTGTACTTGAAAAGGCTGGGCACCATTTAAGCACCATACATATGTAGACTCCTTTATTCCTTCCGGCAGTCTTGTGATGTCAATGGTGTATAATAATTCCATTTTACAAAGGAGGTACCTGAGGCACAGACATGCATAAATACACCCCAAGGTCACAGAGTTAAAACCATGCCCACTGGCTGCATAGCCCTTAAGCTCAACCACTGTGCTACACTGCCTCTTAAGACAAATCCACCCATTGAAAGAAAAACGACTGTTGCTTTGTTGAAGCCAGACAAAGCTGTTCATCAGCAAGTCAGACAAAGCAGGTCAGATTGTCCTGCCAGGGAAGTGTCATGGGAGAAATTGTCCTGTCCGGGAACAAACCTTGAAGGAATTTTCCTTTCAAGGAAAGGAGTACTTGATTTGATTTTTACCTTTTTTTCTCTCTTCACATCATTGGCAACCTCCTCAATTTAAGGTCATCTGAAAATTGAGTTAATGTTCTGTTTACCTCATCCTTCAGGTAATTTAATAAGGATGCTCGGGGCTTGTCCCTAAACACCTCATAGAAGTCTACCCAGTGCCAATGAGTTGATTCTCATAGTGAAAGATGTCCAGTTATGCATAGACTTGCTTGGATTTGCATTATGTACTGTTGAATATGTGACTTCTCAGAATGTTTGTGTTAATGTTTTTCTAAAAATCCAAAACATTTTACCCTATCTTGTGGTCCTTCCCACCCCATGAGCTGGTTTTAGCATCTTTTTCCCCAATATTTTAGGATATCATCTTATTAATAATTAAATAGTTACTTCTTTATATTCAGAATATAGCTCCTCATTTCTTTGAAATTTACATAAAGGAAGATTATGAACAGCAAGGGAAAATATGAAGTTCTCCTTCATATCATATTCTTAATCACAGAGGTAATAATGGTGGATCACTACTAAATACCATTCTAAAATAAAGTCTTTTATGTGTATGTGTGTAGTGTCCATACTGTGGTCTGAAAGTCTGGGGAAGTGTAGCAAATGGTTTAAGATGCTGACTGGAATGAAATTGTCTAGATATGAGCATCTTGCTCTCTCTGCCAACAGTGATGTTGGACAAGTTACCTAGCATTACTTAGCTTATCTTGGTCTCAGTTTCTTTAAATGTAAAGTGGAGATAATAGCTGTACAGCTGTTTCAAGGAATAGCTGTGTATTTAAAACAGTATCTAGACCTGGGCTATATAGCTCAGTAGCAAAGCCTTGCTTAGCAAGTTCAATTTCTACAGTTCCATCCCCAGTTCCAAAAAAGAAAAACAATTAAAAAGAAAACTCAAACATAAAACAGTATCTAGGAACCAGGAAAGCTTTGTGTAATATTAGCTATAATATTTGGTTGGTTTTGATATTGCTTTTAAATCATTAAAAATGTTTTCAATTGCCAGGTGCTGGTGGCTCACACCTGTAATCCTAGCTACTCAGGAGACTCAGATTTGGGGATTGCAGTTCAAAGCCATCCTGGGCAGAAAAGGAAAATCCATGAGACTCTTACCTTTGATTAAGCACCAAAAAAAGCTGGAAGTGGGGCTGTGGCTCAGTGATAGGGCCTTGAGCACAAAAGCTCAAGGACAGCACCCAGGCCTTGAGTTCAAGCCCCAGGACTGGCCTAAAACAAAAGATTGCTTTCATGGCCATTAACAGTGAAAAAGCAGTACTTTATACAAGTATTATTTAGTTCCTTCAATAGGTTGGAGGTGGTAGTATGTTACACTGTGAGTTCTTTCCATACATCCTTTCTTGACTGGCAAAACCAGTCTGATCCTGGGAAGGGATAATAGGAGAAAAACAAAGGAGGGGATACCAATGCTTGACAAGAAATATACTCATTATGTTATTTATGTAACTGTAACCCCTCTGTGCTTTTTACAATAAAAAAATCTAAATTCTTTTCAGTATTTTTCTTTGCTTTTAAAAAGTGAATAGATATTTAAAATTTCCTTGGAATAGTTTAAAATTTTTATTTAATCTTAAGGACACTCTTTTTTATGTGTGAATCTGGGAAAGGGCAGACTTGCGGGTACAGTACACAGGGTGTTTTAGGTACTTTGTTCTTTGTCTCTAAAATGTTGGTGCTGCCATCTGCTGGAAACAGCAGAGTTCTTAAAAGTTACAATTCAACAGTCATAATCTTTCTGATAGTTCTCTTGTTAATATAAATTACATCTTTTATTTGAATGAGAATTACAAAATTCAAATAGCATCTTCAATTCTCTCCAGGGAAAAAGTTCATGAGAGGCAGCTATCTTTTGAGAGAAAGAGGCTTGTAAAACCATATCCACAACTATAAGCTCCACTTTTTGCAGATAAGGATGGACGCTCAAGTATTTTGAATTTTCTGGGTGTGGTTGTGTGGTCTTTTGCTTGATTTGCTCTATGAGAGGTAGAGAAACTATAATTATAACTTAAGCAGACCAAACCCCAGAGAGGTTAAATAATCACTTTCTCAATGGCACAGCTGGAACTAGATTCTGGGACTTTGAGTATCTCATCCTGGGATGCTATATTATTCCTCCAACTTTCCTTATGTTGTTGTGTGCTTAGCAGTATTAAAACATTGCATCAGCCAGGTGCCAGTGGCTCACATCTGGAATCCAAGCGATTTGGGAGGCTAAGATCTGAAGAGCATGTTTTGGAGCCAGCCTGGCAGAAAAGTCCATGAGACTTTTTATCTCCCTTTAACTACTAAAAATCTGGAAGTAGAGTTCTGGCTCAAGTGGTAGAGTGTCACTCTTGAGTGAAAAAACCAAAACATCACCTAGGTGCTTTGTTCAATCCCTAATACTAGCCCACACAAAAAAATTATTACAGGTATGGAACCTGGAAAGATGAAAGTTGTGAGCACAATTTGAAAGTGAATAATACATTAGAAACAACTTTATTAATTCTTGAAAAGTAAATTAATAAGATCCTGAACAGTACACACTACAGACACTACTGTTGGTTTGCCACATTGAAAATATAATTTCTTTTTTTTTTGGATGTTTTGCCACATAATAGTATTACATGGTGAGCTTCAAAATCATGTGTTGACTCAGAATATTCATTCCATTCATTGAAAAACAAATTAATTAGACTGGCATTAGAGTGATTTTTTTATTAAGTAATACGTTTGGTGAATGTTAAAGCAATATAAGCTAGTAACCAGTGGCTTATGCCCATACTCCTAGTTACTCAGGAGGCTGAGATCTGAGGATTTTGCTTGAAAGCTAGCCAGGGCAAAAGAGTGTCTAAGACTTTATCTCTAGTTAACACCAAAAAGGCAGAAGTAGAGCTGTGGCTCAAGTGGTAGAGCACTATCCTTGAGTGGAAAAGCCTAGGTACAGTGCCTAGGGCATGCGTTCAAGCCCCAGTACCACTATGCTGAACGACGGCTTGAATTCAAGGCCTTTTAGTTACTTGATAGGCATGTGCTCTACGAGTTGAGCCATATTCTTCCATTTCTGGTTTTTTTTTTTTTAGTGATTTTTCAAATATGGTCTTGTGTATTGCCCAGGCTGTTTAGATAGCAATCCTCCAATTTAAGCTTTCTGTGTAGTTGGGACAGTTGCACACCTAGCTTTTATTGGCTAGGATGGATTCTTGCGACTTAAGCCAAGGCTGACCTTGAACCACCATCCTTCTGGTCTCTGGCTCCTAAGTATCTGGGATTACAAGTTTGAGCCACTGCACCTTCCCTAGGTATTTTCTTTAGTTTTAGACTGTCATTGTTCTTCAAATTTGCTTATATGCTATAATTGTTTTTTAGCCTTTTATAAAAACACTTGGATCAATTGATTTCACATTTCACCTACATTATACTAAGTATGTTACACCTTTGTGTGTAAAGTTATGTTTCTAATTTGAAACAGCTGTTTTACAAGAAATGTGTTGGAATGCATGTGAGCCTGGATGAATGTGTTAGTGATAGGTCTGGCTTTAGATTTTTTACTTTTATTGAACTATAATGTTAGGAATTTTTTTTACTAGATAATTAATCCAGAAGTGGGGAGCAAGGATAGTCAGTCTTTAGCTAGGCATTACAAGGTGTGGCTTAAGAGAATCTGCCCACGGCCAAAGGGCCAAAAGTAAAAACTTTTTGAATAGAATTTAATTTCTTTATGTTGAACTGAAGATTTCTCTTCTGATAATGCATGGTTTTTTTCTTTTACATTTTATAGGGATACAGCATAAATGCAATCTCTTTCATATGACAGCTATTAAGTTTTCTTTCTGCATTTTCTTTTCTGCATTATTTCTATAATCTAATGCCTAAGACCCTTCCCTCCTTCTTAATTATAAAAATATTGAACAGTTTGTTTGCTTTAGTTAAATATTTGTCTAACCCCAACCCTGTAAGATAGTATTTTTTAATCAATCATGCCTATTTTATTGAGACTCAGAGATGAAGTGCTCACAAGCAGTAAATCCTGAACCAGGATTATCTGAGACTATTAATACTATTCATGCCTAATATCTAGGCCTTTGATCTCTGCCTTCCCAGCTATTCTTTGTAAGATACAATGTCTATTTAATGAAGCCCTTTTAAGTCCACTTCCTATATTTATATTATTGTGATGCTTACAAAATTAATAATTCACATATCAAAAGTATGTGCTACAGTTAAAGATAAAATAATTGCAGAGTTCAGCTTAAAGTAAACCAAAAAAAAACAGTTTTTTGAAGCTTTTATTTATGGTGACTTGCATGGCCTATCTCTTAAGTATTCTGCATCTCATAAGAATCCTTTGTGTTGCCTTTCTTTTAGTAATTATCTGCTTCATTTCCAGGTGAACGAAATTTACCACGATGAGTCCCTTGGCGTGCATATCAACGTGGCCTTGGTGCGCATGATAATGCTGGGCTATACAAAGGTAAGTAAAATGCCTTACAATTTATGAAGGTGAGGGTTAGCAAGTAGAACACCAAATTGCTGAAGCTATAGCCATCCTATGTCACGTGGTTGCTCCTCTCAAGAGGAGACATTGCTTCAATCCATCAGTGTATACCTCCACATGAGAACAGATAGTGATTCTTGGGCTACTACCATTTGTTTAACATAATGGAGATGAGAAGAGATAGTTGTCCTGATTTTTGGAGTGGCTGCATGAATGAAAATGAGTGGATGGCATGAAGAGAAAATAATTTTCTTAGTTTGTCATTATCAAGTGTATGGCTCATATATTCATTCAAAATATTCATATTACAAGCCACCTATGTGGCAGATACTGTCAAAGTGATAGAAATAGATCAAGGAAGAAGAGACTTCTTTTGCTAGCTTGGACAGTTGGATCAGAATACATATGGTAGACATTTCAGGTAATTGATTTCTGACTGCTTTTAAATGACAGTGGATATGTCCCTGTTCTTGGAAATAATAAAATGGAGGAAACAGAAGAAGTAAACTGGCCATTTAAAATTACATGTCCTTCTCCCATAATGAATCCTCCTCTTTATGAAACATTCATGAATTTTTATATTAAGGATACAGCAAAATGCCCATGAATTTGCCTTTCATTATCTATTTAGCATCCACTTACCATTATCTAAAAATAGGTGTCAGTGATCTTTAGTTTCTCCCATCAACCTGACCTATTTTGTGTGGCTACCAAGGAACAAGTCAACAATCTGGAGGTGTTAACAATCTTCGGTTGGTTGATCAGCGTATAACAAGCCAGGCTAGTTTAATTTATTAAGAATGTGAACACTGGATAATAACATTTACTGAACTGTAACAAAATGCTTTGCTTCTCAGCCAACCAGGGCCTCATTTTTGTTTCCAAGTTCAACTTCTCATCCCATCAAAAATATTCTGCAAAGGATGGATATTTTGGTTATTGAAAGATAGCCCGTTTCCCCCTGAACTTTTAACTCCTAGCCATAATGCAATTATGGCAACATTCCAAGGAACTTAAACTTATTTATTGCAACTACAAGATAAGAGTCCATCTCTCTTCATTATCATAAGGTTAAAAAAAAACAAAACTCACTTGGCTTTTTTTTCTTTTTTTCAAGAAGTTCACTATTCCCTTAAAGATTTGACCAGTAGTACCAGCTATTAGAAGAATATTCTTCCCACATATTGATTAATTCTAGACCAAAAATATATGCAAAAATTCTTTTTAGTTGTACAAAGGGATTATTAGTACAAGTCAGATTATGAGTACAATACATCTTGGTCTTTTAATTTTATGTCCTTGGAAAAGTCCTACGCCAAAATATCTTAACATTTTTGTTTTTAATGTCTAACAAAATTTAAAATCTGAGCAAAATCAGGAAATACTTTAGACTTTTTAAATTCTTCCCCCAAATGATTAATACTGAGTTGGCTCATTATAGTAAATCTCAACTTCAAATGCTCCCATAAATTGTGTCTGTCCACATTCACATGTTGTATTGACCATCATGATCCCTTCATTGGCTTTTAGAATTCCCAAAACAGAACAAGATGCCCCCAATACTGTTATTGAATCATTGTTTCAAATACTCTTAATCCAAAATTCAAGCTTCATAAAAAGTTAATAAAGAAAGCATTTTGGAAAATGCTATATGTATCTTTAACATATTGTTTCCTTGCAGTCCATCAACCTCATAGAAAGGGGAAACCCATCCAGAAGTTTGGAAAATGTGTGTCGCTGGGCTTACCAGCAACAAAAACCAGATCCCAACCACTCTGAACACCATGATCATGCCATTTTCTTAACCAGGCAAGACTTTGGACCTGCTGGAATGCAAGGTATTTCCATCAATATGTAGAAGAAAAACCTAAAGGCAGGACATTTCTTAAAGCAATCTTAAACAGTCGGTTCAAAATCTTCAAATCTCTACCATTACTTTCTACCACAAACTGACCACACATATATTTTCCTTCCAGTGCTTTCAGTGACTTCTGTGGAATTCACAATGGCAAATGGCACCTAAATGCCATCGTAAATTATACCTGTCTTTAAAATAATGACTGTACATTTAGGGTACAGAGGGGATGCTATAAAATGCAATGTGATTTCCACTGTTTCAAATGAGAAAAGAGATGCCAGGAGAAATGGCCACTGACAAGAAGCTCTCTTCCAAAGTCAGCTTCCATTTATCGAATAAATTCTGATGAGGACTTTGGAATAAGCAGGCTGACAATTTCCTTTTCAACACTGATGGAATTTCTGGCTCCCTTCATCGGCACCATGATATGAAGGGCCAGTTACTGAAACAGAAAAGGAACACTTGGCTAGAGGACAGATCAGAGTAGTAATGGCTGGGGCAGTTCCTTTCCTTAGCAAAGGAGAAAAGGCAGACCTCATGAATCTTTTTAGAGACCGTTACCTGTGGCTTTCCCAAGAGAATGTGGCATCTTGCTAGCAGAGAAATAATACCACCCTTGTTTGCTGAAACATTTTTCCCCCTAGGCTAAGGTCCAGTAGTAATTCTTAATGGATTTTCTCATAAAATGAAAATAAAGGTAATTGTTATTCTCTACAGGATATGCTCCAGTCACAGGCATGTGTCATCCAGTGAGAAGTTGTACCCTGAATCATGAGGATGGTTTTTCATCAGCTTTTGTAGTAGCCCATGAAACTGGCCATGTGTAAGTCACTGTTGACAGCTATACAGAAAAAAAAGCCTTTTGCTTTGCTTTTCCCAGTATTGTTCACACGTTGGGCAGAATGCATGCCAGCATGCAGTTCTTGTCCTTTGCCAAATGTGAGGCGCTGAAGACAGTGAAGGGGTCAGGCACTGAAACTCAATGAGTGGCTGTCTTGCGGAGGCTCTCCTGTGCTTTTCATAGCTGTGGAATAAGAAAGACATCTCTGTTCCATTGCTCTTGAATTCAGTGTCTATGACTTCTCCAAGGAAGCCCTGTTGACTTAAAAGACATGTCTTTCCCAGTACTTACTATTCCAAAAAGAAACTTAAGCCAAAGAAAGGTAGTTCTTCTCCTTCTTAACCTTGAGGTCGCCTCTGTGTTCTAGGTTGGGAATGGAGCATGACGGACAAGGCAACAGGTGTGGTGATGAGACCGCCATGGGCAGCGTCATGGCTCCCTTGGTACAAGCTGCCTTTCATCGCTACCACTGGTCTCGGTGCAGTGGTCAGGAACTAAAGAGATACATCCAGTATGTATCCTGCTGTGTGTTATGAACACTTCTGTCTTAGAACTTCTTGGCCATGAAATTGACTTTTCACACTTGGTTCTTAACAGAATCCTCAGAGAATAAAAACGTTGTTGTTGTTGATAATAGACGCATTCCTCTAAGTCAGAGGTTTTAGCACCAGGATTCTATAATATAACCATAATATTTAAGAAATAAGCCTCAAAGTTAAGTACATTTTTAATTATGAAGTGATTTCCCTTTAGAAAAATCCTTTATGAAGGATGCAACTAAAGGCAAAACTTGAGTGGTGGTGGGGGTTATGGTCATGTGACTCCTGCATGTTATACACCTGTTTCCGGTAGTGTAGGTGTTAGGTTCTGCCATGCTACACGATGTAGAAGTTTGGTTAGTAACACAAACAGGATTACAGTTCTACTCCATTCCTGAGTTGAGCTTGGCTTACCTTTATGGAATAAATAAGGATAAAGGATTCCCCCCTGCCTTGCCAATTAGAGCTAAAGCTGAAAATCTTAAAATGTATGGTTTTGTTAACTAGCCCTATGATCTTGTAAAACACTAGGATATATAAGTTCTTTCCCATTAGAAAATGATTTTAAAGATGAGTATTGGGCTACGTTTCATGTTTTCTTTCCTGCAGTTCCTATGATTGTCTCCTGGATGATCCTTTCGAACATGATTGGCCCAAACTCCCAGAACTTCCTGGAATAAATTATTCTATGGATGACCAATGTCGCTTTGATTTTGGTGTTGGTTACAAGATGTGTACTGCGGTATGTTCCCCAGCATCAGTTTTCAGTTGGCATCTTGAAATCTATTTGTGTAGTTCCTCTTTAGTGAGCTTTGCACTTAACTGGTGGTACAAGTATAAGAATATCTACTAATTACTTGTGTTTGTTATGTTCTTAGATACTGAATCTTAGATGTACTGCTTTACTAAATCCTGATTGGGGGAGCTGGTACACTTTTATTTTATGGAATAAAACCCCAAGATGTACAGAGAGAACGATTTGCACAATCACACACCAAGTAAATAGAGAACCTTAAACCAAGGCTTTTAGGCTCCAAATCTTTATAGTCTACTCTTCTAGTTTTTGTAACCTTCAGAGGTGACTCAAAAGCCTTAAACATTGTGTTTTTCTGTGCTTTGGAGGCCCTTTAGGGGCCTTAGGCAAGGGTTCTGCTAGTAAAACATTGTACTTAATGCAAATGGCATAGCCTGGGTATCAAAATATGAATATCCACAGTCAGACTGGGTAGGTCAGGTCTTGTTGTTGAAACTTACTAAATGTATGACTTCGGGCACCTTGTTTAATCTCACAGGCTTAGTTTATTCACACATAATATGTAGATAATGATAGCATTTATCTTCTAAGATTAGTGAAAGGATTAAATGTGATAATCTAATTGAAGTACTTAGCACAATGTAGGGACTGCTCCACAAATTCATTAAAGCCAATCTCCCATGTAAATTTCAAATAGAGATGTTTTCATTAAATTTCAAATAGAGGTATTTTCATTAAATTTTCATGTTGACATTTAGTTATTACAAGGAAGAAAAGAAAGGGGAGGGAAAAGGAGAGGAGAAGAAAGGAGGGGAAGAGAAGCTTTTTCTATGTTGGAACAAGCATTGTGTGATAGACAAAAGAGGGAGAAAGTATTTCTTGATGTTGAATAGAAATGGATGTGCTGTTTGCAATCCTTCGCAGCATTTAGTTTTTGTAGATGTACACAGTGAATGCCTAATTATCTGCATTAATGTTTTAGATTGGAGAGACGTAAAGTTGTAAGTCACTGCACGAAATAAACAATTTTTGCATAAGCCAAGAGAGATTAGAACAGATATATTCAGGTTTAAAAATGAGCACTAATATAAAATATCTATTAACAGAGGGAATCGTGTGAGTAAACTGTATAGGCAAAAGATAAATGGATGGTTATAAATCTCTATCTAAGAGTCTAACCAGATCCCATTCTTTACATCCCTATGCTAATCTGACAAAGTACTTCACCTTGTTAAAATTATCTATCTAAGGAATTGTGAGGTGTTTACATTTAGGGAGAAAAAGAGCAGATATGTAAAGGTTGTACACAAGTGTATGTGTATGCTTGCATAAACATTTGGTGTAAATGCAGTGTTTAGGAAAATCATAAATAAAACCCTGGAAAAATGATAAAACCAAGATTCTAATCTGGCTCTGTTACTATCTCTTAACTGTAATAACAGGCTTAATTTGTAGCTTCTATTCCTCAGGCTTAGATTGGGATAAGTACTGAGTATATGGCAGGTGAATTATAAACTACATGAATGTTGTGAATAGAAAATTCTTTAGAAACTGTATGAATAGATTGTTGTATTTTGGTATTCCTTATACCTTAACTTACACTAAAGGTTTTCTTCTTTTAATCAACTAATCATTATGAGCATGTTATTATTTATCTCTAGTTTATACCTACAGTGAAGGATATTAAACCATTGTAAAGTAATTTCATGTTTAAAATATTCATAACAATTAAGCCACTTAAAATTCTAATATTGCCTATTTTAACACCAGAAATAGAAACAAGATGAGGAATATACATTGCATTTGATACTTTCAGGAAAGCACAACAGGAGTATTCTCTTCTTGAAATTCTTATGCAGTGCTTATTATTTTACATGGCACAACTTTGGCTATTAATTTGGAATGAATTTATCCAAGAAAAATGACATAGGGAAACTGTAGAGACAGTATATTTGGTGCATGTTCTGCTCTCTAAAATTTACTAACTGCTTGTTTCTCTCTTCCAGTTCCGAACCTTTGACCCATGTAAACAACTATGGTGCAGCCATCCTGACAATCCCTACTTTTGTAAGACTAAAAAGGGACCCCCACTAGATGGGACCGAATGTGCTGCTGGAAAAGTGAGTATCTCTATTTATAAATGACATGTGTACTACTCTTCTTTAAAAATCTAACCAATGGTGGACATTCCCTTACTGTTATCTTTATTGTAATCACAGTGCCTGATGACTCCCCATGGAAAAATACACTGACAGTTCGACTTTCCTGTGGCTATTAGAACATATGACCACAGACCTGGTGGCTTAAAACACCAAGAATTTATTCTGTCATAATCTTGAAGGCCAGAAATCCAGAATCTGTTTTGTAGAAGTTAAAACGACATGTGGACAGGGCCATGCTCCTCCACAGGCTCTAGAAGAAAATGTACTTCCCTGTCTCATCCAGCTCCTAGTGGCCTACCACATTCCTGATTTGTGTCTACACCACTCTGACCTCTGCCTCTGTGGTTAAATGGCTTAAAAAAATAAGTGTCAACTCCTCCTCTGCCTCTCTTCTAACAATACAAGGAATGGAATTTTGGATCCACCTAGAGAATGCAGGTGAATCCAAAATTCCATTCCTTGTATTGATGATTTAATGCTATTTGCAAAGACATTTTTTTTCTAAATAAAGGCACATTGGCAGGTGCAGGGCTTGGGAACTGCTGTCTTTGGGACTGCCACTGAGCCCACTACAGCTAGGCTGGGAAGAGGCAGGTCAGCCGGGGAGATTTGATTTACTGGCTGGCATCCTGTTCCTTGTGAAAGATGCCCAGAAATAAAGTCATGTGAATTTATGCAGAAGATTTGGCCTCATTCCTTGGGGAAAGATGCCCAGAGGTTTTAAATCTCAAATTGTGTAGTCAGGAATGAATGCCTAGAAACTGGCTTAGGGCCAAGGTATGCTACTCGTAAGGGCAAAAATCCCAAAACAAAGGCATGTGAAGAACTCAAGTTGAAGAGCCTTGACTAGTTTACAAGTCAAATCGTTGACAAGACCAAAAGATTGCAACAGGTATCAATATAGCTTTAGGTTTCAAAGGTGTATAAACTGTACTTATGCTAAGAACTACACATGATAATAAAACCTGTTATTACAAGGACTTATTGTGCCAACTACATTATATATACATACACATACTCTTGCTTTGGAAAAGTTCAACATTAAATGTTTAAATAAAAACAAGAGCAGGGACTGGGAAGATGTCTCAGTGGTAGAGCGCTTGCCTTGCATGCCTGAGGCCCTGGGTTCGATTCCTCAGCACCACATAAGCAAAAAGAAAAAAGCCAGAAGTGGTGCTGTGGCTCAAGCGGTAGAGTGCTAGCCTTGAGCTGAAGAGCTGAGGGACAGCGCCCAGGCCCAGAGTTCAGGCCCCATGACCGGACCAAAAAAAAAAAAAAACAAGAGCAATAGTTTATTTTTGTTTTATTAAAAAGGGTATCTTGAAGTAAACACACACATGCACATGCTCACGCACATGCACACACACACGCATCAAGAGAGAGGGAGAGAAAGAGAGAAAAAGGTGTTTGAGTTCATGATGAATTCTGGTCACCCTAAATAAGATGCATCTTTGATATCAGGGCTCTAGTGGCCTCACTTAATTACTTGATCAGATGGCTCTTAAACTAGTAATGGACATTTCTGCACCTTAACCTCATTGAAGAGGTGATCATTATCTGACCTAACTCTTAAAATCCTGGCAAATTAAAATTGCATAGAGTAATAAAACTGCTTTGAAGGCTAGCTATGGCTTTGGATATACTGTATTAGTTAGTTCCTGAGTGGAGACAAATATTTTTCATGTCATCACTTTAATGTAGAGCAGATGACCCTCAAGCTAGAGATGATATAGGTCATGAGACATGATGGCTGCATTAGTAGTTACTGGAAAAATTGGTACTCAGAAAATTACAAAGCCCGCCAATTCTTACTGACTGATGAGAGATCATTTTAAAACTTGTTTGAATAATGGTATTTTCTCATTTTAATTTTATACTTACAAATGCAATGAAAGTTACCCTTTTGATAGGGCATCTTAGTGTTTTAATAGCTTTTGGATCATTTTAAATGAGCTTTTCACATGGAGAAAGAAGTAAAGACACTCACTTCACCTAAATGGTTCTTGTCTGACAACTTCAGCTTTAATGTGTGCGTGCTTTTCATAATTATCATTTGTCTTTCTCCTAAGTGGTGCTATAAAGGTCACTGCATGTGGAAGAATGCTAATCAGCAAAAACAAGATGGCAACTGGGGGTCATGGACCAAATTTGGCTCTTGTTCCCGAACATGTGGAACTGGTGTTCGTTTCAGAACACGCCAGTGCAATAATCCCACGTGAGTATAAGCCTCATGCTTCTTGTTACCAGTGCATAGACCAGAAAATAATAATACTTTGTTACTAGCATTCTTTTTGATGAAGTGCATGTAAAATATAAAATACAGTATGCAAAAACAATGCAATTTACAAAATAGTGTCTTGGGAATAAATATTCACTTATCCATCTGATGAAGAGTAGTCAACAACAAAGATGATTTGCTTAAATGAATAGGGGAGATTTGTGGGGGAATTATTGTTTGGGAATATGAAGGAGGCATCACTATGTTCTTGGGGTCCAGGCACAGGGCTGTGAGATCCACCCCAAGAGCATGGAATGGAAGCACTACTAACCATATAGAATCATTCATTCCCTGGGTAGGCATGATTATTACCAAGTAGACAGCCAGGGAACTATTTGGGAGAACAAGCATTTGTTCATTTACTTAACCTAAATTCATTCAATCCTTTTTTGTTTATTTCTCTTCAGATAGTAGAAAATAATTTTAAAATATAGGAATTCTTTCTTGTCTGTAGTTTAGCATCAAGTAGCTCTGTCTCCTGTTTGAGGAGCAGAATATCTCTCAAAGATTTCATTTTATACAATTAGAGGCCATGCACCAGTGGCGTTAGAAGTAACAACAACCAACCAAAACTATAATAATAACTAAGATTCACAATACACCTGTGTCTAAGTGTCCTTAAATATGTTGATATATAATCCTTATAACTTTGTTCTTTGGAAGACAGTGTTTTTATTTTCATTTTACCTAGAAGGAAACAGAAGAATAGAGCTATGATTAGAGTGGCTTTGAGTCCCCTCTGGAGGTTTTATATGTGGCAGAAAATAGTTTTCTTGAATTCATGTATGTGCTTTTAAATCTCTTTATATACCTTTGCCATCTGTGTAAAACATTGTGGTTGGGAAGCAGACATTAGTTGAATTTTGGGGTCTTTCCCCACAGTAGAGAAAGCAGGGTACTTTGGAAATGCACTGGATTTAGGAAGTCTGAGTTCATTCATTCTGCTGGCACCTGGGAAGCCCTGGCTCTCTGCCCTCCAGCACTGTGTCTGCTCGCCTGAGCTGCCGAGCCAAAGCCACAGCCTTTTTCAATGTTGTCTTTTCTTTAGGCCCATCAATGGTGGTCAGGATTGTCCTGGTGTTAATTTTGAGTACCAGCTTTGTAATACAGAAGAATGCCAGAAACACTTCGAGGACTTCAGGGCCCAGCAGTGCCAGCAGCGTAACTCCCACTTTGAATACCAGAATAGCAAACACCACTGGTTGCCTTACGAACATCCTGAATGTGAGTAGACACAGCTCTTTTTTGCTGGGTGGATGGTCACTTAGACTTTAAGCTTTGCCAACACCAATCCCTGGGATTCTTGATCCTTGACTTGGTAACAAAAGAAGAATGATAGCTTTTAGGAGCACGTCCTCCTAAGTTTTCCAAGAATCAGGCTAAATCCTAATCCTTTCTCTAGAAGGAAGATTGTGACAGACATACAGTCCCTGGAAAATAGCTTTATCCTCACCTGGAGTAAAACCACCAGAGGAACATAACACATGAGAGAGATGGGGAATTTCTGAATCACGTACAATCTTTCTACTATAAGAAATTTAAAAAAAGAAAAATAATCTTTTTTTTTTTACCATTGTGTCCTCAAGGACCAAGGATCAAGACAAAAAAGACCATTTCTTACATCATTTAATAACAAAAAGAATTTTATAGCCTAAAAGGTTTCTAAACTAGTTGCTAAAATAGAGCAGGATGTCTGTAGCTCATGCCTGTAAATCCTAGCTCCTCAGGAGGCTGAAGAACGAGTTTCAAAGCCACCCTAAGAAGAACAGTCCATGTGACTCAATTTTCAATGAACCAGTTAAAAGCATGGCTAGAAGTAAGGTTCAAGTGGTAAGATTCTAGCGTGAACAAGCAAACGGAGGGAGTATACCCCTTCAGTTCAAAGCCTAATACTGGCAAAAAAAAAATAGTCTTAATTGTTTAAAATATTTTATTTCTCGTCCTTCAATTCATGAACCAATAAGTTCAAATAGAAATCTTGTCTGATTTCTTATGAGTGAATAAAAATGTAGTTACATGATTGTCATGCTATAATATGCCACTTGGATTCAGTTTAGAGGTAAATACATATATGCCAAAGTTTTAGCACTTTCAGAATAAATTACTTTTTAATTTATTTTAGTGCAGGTCGTTATATCTGTTATATTTAATCAATCACTTGCCCAGAGAATGCAATGTGATTGGGTTAGACCAAAGAGAAACTCAGTGTTTGGTTTATTTAATCAAAGTTGGGGTGTGTGCGTGTGTCTGTGTGTGTGTGTGCCCGTGTCCGCGTCTCCGTGCGTTTTTAATCAAAGTTGGTGTGTGTGTGTGTGTGTCCGCATCCGCATCCACGTTTCCGTGTGTGCATGTGCCAGTATTGGGACTTGAACTGGCCTGGGCACTGTCCCTTATCTTTTCCACTCAAGGCAAGTGCTCTACCACTTACACCATATTTCCATTTCTAGCTTTTTGGTACGTAAGTGGAGTTAAGAGTATTTTGGATTTTTCTGTCCAGGCTGGCTTTGCTCTTCAAATCTCAGCCTCCTGAGTAGGTATAATCACAGTTGTGAGCCACTGGTATCTAGATAAAAAGATTTTTTTAAGAGTTTTAAAATCTACTGCCTGGTATATTAGAACAGTCCCAGTTGGTAACAGAGATCCCTGCACCACTACTAATTGGCCTCTTTGCACACTCCAAGAATTTAGATTAATCATGCACCTACTTACACGTTTCAGTTAGTCCTTGTTTTATTTATTTATCCAGAGTTCTGTTTGCTTTCAAGAATCTACATTGAAACTTTAATGCTTTCAAAAAATAAACTTCTGCTGTTCAAACATTCTGTTTTATTGAAGTAGTTAATTGTATCCTCTCTCTTTTGCAGCCAAGAAAAGATGCCATCTTTATTGTCAATCCCGAGAGACAGGAGATGTTGCGTATATGAAGCAGCTGGTACATGATGGCACGCACTGCTCCTACAAGGACCCGTATAGTATCTGTGTGCGAGGAGAGTGTGTGGTAAGTCCAGACTGCGGCTTCCCACAGTAGCTGGCCAGTCAAGGCTTACTATCATTCACATGCATATTTTAAATATTTTTATGTCTGTGCTGGAGCTTGAATTCAAGGCTTCTTGCCCTTACTTGGCTTTTTCACTCAAGGCTGGCATTCTTCTACTTAAGCCACACCTCCACTTCCATGTTATTGCTCATTCAATGAAGATCAGACTTTCATGGACATTCCTGCCCAAACTGGCTTTGAACTGTGATTCTTATATCTCAGCCTCCTGAGTGGCTAGGATTACAGGGGTGAGCCACTAGCACTGAGATTTATTTATTTATTTTCGGTTGATAAGTCTCTGTGAAGTTATATTCTAATGATAGCCTATGGAGAGATCAGTAGATAAACTTGGGAGGAACTGGTTAAAAGTAAATGTTTATTCACTGGTAAAATAAACACAGATTCAAATACAGTTTTTCTTATATACTTTTGATCCAGCTAAATGCCTTTTTTAAGGAAAAAAAAAATGCATTCTGTTTGGGAAAAACAACAGTTGGGAACAGTGCATTTGACTTTTTTACCAGCAGCCATCTAATAATTGAAGTAGATGATCTTTCAAAAAGCAAAAAGAATTGAATGCTAAATGTGCTTTGTCTTTTACTTTAAAGATAAAATATATGCCCTCTTCTTCTGTTTTCTTCCTCTCTTATCTTTCAGTACTTTTAAGCATTCAGTTCCACATCCAAAGTTGTAGAGAACTTTTTTCTTTGTTGCATTTAATCTCTTGGTTAAACAATGCAGTATATTTTCTCCTTCTATGTTCACAATTAACATGAAGTTAGCCTTACTAATGGAAACACTGTTCTTAATGTCTACTTTTCAGGAAAAATTTAAGTAGGCAGATGTCAGAGGATGCCTTAGTCATCATGTGCTGCTAAAATTGTCATATGTGTTGTTAATCTGGGTTGAAGACAGAATAGCATAGATTGGGTAATTCATTTTAAGGAAATGTATTTGGTCCATGGTTCAGGTGGCTAAGAAGGCCTAGGGCATGTGGCTCGCATCTACTTAGTATCCAACAAGGGCCTTTGTGTTCCCTCATCCCATAGTAAAAGTGGAAGGGGAAGAGGGCATGTGAACCACAGAAAACACAGGGAATCACTCTCAAAATGACCTCCTCACTTCCATAATAATGTAATTCAGGGAGACTGAGATCTAATGATTCAATCGTGTCTTATTAACTACCTTGTCACCTGGCACTGTTGTGTTGGGGTTTAAGTTTCTAACACATGCCTTTTGAGAGAGACATAGTAGTTGAAGATTTGTTGTTTTCATTTTTAGCTTTCCAAGATAACCTGCTAATGTATATGTGCTGTCATGATTTTCTCTCCCCATTTTGTTGCCGTGTATATAAGTGCAATGATGTGTTATATATCGTTATCCTGCACTGATCTGAAGACGGCTCAGTACAGAAAACCATTAGTAGTTCCTTATTAATGTGAAATATTGACAGTAGCTGGCATTCAAATCCTCCCCACCCTGTGCTGTGGAGATCTTCCATTGTTCTTCCCCTGTATGCAACACTCAGCTTCCATTGATGTAACTACCAGCTTAAATACTGATCTGTAAACCTACTTTCCATGAGCATACAATTTCCATGGCTATGTCTGAACCTTTCTGCATTTCTGAAATTTTCTTCTCTCTACAGTCCCTCAGGATCCTATGAAGTCACATATCCTATACAACACTTTGAAAGATTACTTACTCTAGTTATTATTCATCTTTATAAATATTAAAGCAAGAAGAGTGCCATGCTGTTGTATTTTTCCCTCAACATCTGCTACATCTTTGCTTATTATCTGATTAAGACAGTTTATGTTAGAGGAAATATTGTACAAGACGGGAGCAATTGTGCAATTACTTAGAATACAAATTATCTGATTTCACACTAGTTCATCAAATCATTGAGGTATGAGCAAACATGACTGTAGAGAAACTAGGAACCAAGACTACACAAAGATAGTTCAATCATTCTCTGGGCAATTATTTTCTCTTTAGCGTATTAAAACTAGTCACATTTAATATCTTCTTTTCTCAGAAAGTGGGCTGTGATAAGGAAATTGGTTCAAACAAGATTGAAGATAAATGTGGGGTCTGTGGTGGAGATAATTCCCACTGTCGCACTGTGAAGGGGACATTTACCAGGATACCCAGGAAGCTTGGTAAGATGGGGTACTCATGAACTAATACACTGCTGTGATTTGTACTTTGAGTCATCTTTTAGAAGCACAGGATTTTTCTCCATGGATCTAGCCAAAAAACAAACAACAACAACAATAAAAAAAGGACCTGGTGATTTATTTCTACTTAAATTTCTTTTTCAAACAATGAAACTTACAATTCATACTTCATAGCATTCATGATGAAAAAAAAGTCTACTAAGTTTAGTTAAGGAGGACTGGGAAGGTGGCTTAGTGGTAGAGTGCTTGCCTTGCATGCATGAGGCCCTGGGTTTGATTCCTCAGCACCACATAAGCAGAAAAAGCCAGAAGTGGTGCTGTGGCTCAAGTGATAGAATGCTAGCCTTGAGCTGAAGAGCTGAGGGACAGCACCCAGGCCCAGAATTCAGGCTCCTTGATGGACAAAAACAACAAAAAATTAGTTAAGGAATAAACACAGTATCAATTACAGAAGTCAATCAAATCTGTTACGTATTGTCTTCTAAAGATAGTGCATATTTAATTAATGTTACTTTTCACATCTGTGGTTCATTAATGGAGCAGGAGTTTAAAAGGTATTAAATCTTTCTAACTTTATAATGCTATACTACTTCCATTTCTTTTTTACTTAAAAAGTGAAGTTTTATCCTTTGTATAAATCTATGATTTTAAGATCTATCACATAATTTTTAACAATTTATCTTAAACAAAACTGAGATATAACCAAAAAGAATGTGAACCTGGAGTTAGATGTGTTTTGAAAATCAAAAAGGTAGAATGCTATCTCCTCATACAACAAACTATATAGAAGATGTTAGTTTCGTAACTCTCTTTGGAATCTTCATAAAAGACTGAGACATGGACATTTATTACTGCTGAAGATTTCTTGAGTTTGTGACAAATATATAATCACTCATTGAAGAATTAGGGACATGGTTCTGGAAATTCAGCATTAACATAAATTCAGTTAGTTCCTTTATTCTTTTTTGTAGTACTAAGATTTGAACTCAATGCCTTTTACTTGCTGGGTAGGTGCTCTACTACTCGAGCCACTCTTGTAGACGCTTTTATGTCCATTATTTTTGAGAGATTGTTTTTCTTTATTCCCTGGGTCAGCCTGAACTGTGCTCCTGGTGTTCGTGCGTCTCTTGTCACTGGGAAATAGACATATGCCACTGAGCTTAGCCATTGATGGAGTCTCATGAACTTAAAGGCATAGGCTGACCTCAAACCATAATCCTCCAGTTACTACTTCCCAGTTAGTAGGAGTACAGGCTTGACTACCATTTCTAGAGAATGCTCTTTTGAAGATTCTCTTCTCACATGTTAGCAAAGTGATACCAAATGATAGGGGAAAATACATGAAGAAATTTGGTTTAAATACCTTGTAATGATGGTAATTTTTCATTTTATAGAAGGAAATACTAGTCTCATCCACATGGAATATTTCTCTTAGTCCTTTTTATACCTAACTCTGCTGTACATCTCTAACTCAAGTTGACACTTATATCAGCTTTGCTTGTTCATATATTTAGAATGACAGAAAGGTGACTATGACTCAGATATGGTTCCTCTCAAGCATTTCCGTCTCTAGTTATTGATGTTCTTTCTATTCCTTTATGATGAATCACCACACTTTATTATTTGCACATTATTTAAAAGCAAATATTGCCAGTTCTGGCTGATTGCTTTAAATACAGTGATATTGCAATATACCAGTAATAATACAGAAATATAATTATATGTGTGTATGTATTTGTGTATATATATTTATGCTTTTGTTAAAATCAAATGCTGTGAAATACGAGCTGTGCAGTTACATGTTATTCTTTACTTTGGAGTATAACATAATGTGTTTTATTTCCAGAGTAAATTAATATAAGGAAATTGCCCTGATCATTCTGTATTCTGTGTAAGATAAGGTAGTTACATTTTTTACACAACTCAAAAATTGATGCTAACTTTGCAAACTATGGCCAAAAGAACATGAGAGTCTTCATCTGTCATACAGACTCACTTTTCACTAACGTCATTGTAGTCATTCAATAGACTAATTAAACTTTTCCAACAGGGAAACATTTAAGCAAGAGATGCCATAAAGAACTCAAGTTGCTGGAAAATGAAATCTGCAAGTATTCCACTTCCAATCGCCTCCATCATCTGCATTCATGCTTAGTCTTACTTTCATTGACTATTAACCGTTTATTGGCACTATCTAACGATTATAAATGCATTTTGCCTTCATCTAAAGTTACAGAACATTTTATATCTTATCTAATACAGTATATAGGGCTTATGGGAGAGTCAATGAAACAGCAAGACTTTGATAAACATGAAAACTACACTAATTAATGACCTTCTATTTAGGGAAGACAAGAGGCGCTTTCACTTTACCCAAAGGAGCTCGTAATATTTCTCTTGCTGAAACAAGAGAAGCTAAAAATGTACTGGGTAAGTTGTAGCAAAATGCAGAAAGATGGGCATCCATAAATGGCATCAAGCTGTTTCTCTGTATGTGGCATCTTAAGCATACTGCTTCTAGCCATTTCATAACATAGGCAAATAGTACCACCATCCATTGAACTTGACCTTATGCTAAAGTGCAAAGCCCCAAATGACCACTGTACTTACTTAGGATACTCATAAATGTTGCAAAAAGCTGAGTAAACCTACCTACAAGTACATATTACAACCTAAGTAACAATAGTAGTAACAAGTTTGTCATAAGAATTACATCGAATTTTTAAACCCAAAGCAACTAATTTGTGCCTACTGATTTTATTATTTCTAGCTTAGAAAATTGAGGTATGTGTGCATGCATGCAACTTGCAAAGTTTCAAACAAGTGTTTTGGACAAATCCATGGCATGGATTTTAAAAATGAGCAAAATGCAAGTTTTGTGTCAGTTTTGGCTTTTAGTCTGAAAAGTTTTGAAAAAATGGAAGGTTAGCTATTTATAACTTTAAAACCATATGTAAGCAGATAAACGATCTCAGATCATTCAGCATGTTTATACATTCACTAAAAATTCAAAGGGTAGTTGAGAAAATTGGGATCATATGAAGAGACTCAAGAATAGTATTTGCCTGAACTGTTGATAGTTTATAATGTGTCAACATGACATAAATGACTAATAAGTGGGTTACAAGAGTCACTTTTTCCCCCTCTTAAATAAAAAGGTGGTTTTCCTTTTTTAAATTATCATTAAGTAGTTGTACAAAGCAGTTGCTATTTAACAAAGCAGCTTGTGAGAATATATCTTGTTCGATGTGTCTCCTTTCACCAGGCAGGCTGCCCCAAAGGCTCTCAGTGCTTTGAACTTCACATTAGAAACAGCTTCTTTCAGTTTATGGATGCTCTCTTCTGCATGCAGAAGCAATAAGAATATAGTGCTCAACTAACCATGGTTGTTGCTTTTGTTTCCTTCTTTGCTTCCTCCATTGTTTACACATGCAAAGGCTACCTTAAGATGTTTGATATCCCCCATGGGGCTAGACATGTGTTAATCCAAGAAGAGGAGGCTTCTCCTCACATTCTTGGTAAGTTCCTATCTGCTGGCATCGCTTCAAATCAGGCACTTAAACCCTGAACTGTCAAAGAAATTGCAAATAGAGCATATATACTTGTGTGTATATATGTCTATACATATATATATATATATGCAAGAGTAACATATATAAATGCATTAGTAGAATTTTTGGGTGAGTGTTTGTCCTTTCTCCAAAGTATTGTTTCTTTACAACAAGAAATATCTAAAAAATAAAACTTCAAGTATTGGTAGGAACTGGATCTGGGTCATAATTTACTTAAGGGGAAATGTAAGTTTATACTTGTTATGCATTTTTGCTCTGTATGAGAGGATGATAAAATATGTTAAATACTCAATTAAGAAGGAATAATGTCAGAAAAATTCATCTACATTGAAAATGGTTGGTTGGTGCCATACTACAATGTTCTCCCCTCTTTTTTTCCCCCTAGATTTCAAGTTAAGTGAAAACTGATGTTAAATTTTCTACATATCTGACAGGTGTCATGGTTTTGACTGACACACTCAGATCTCTTTGCATGGTTGATTGTAATTTCCAAAAGAGCATTCTCTTCCTCTTTTATGAGAGGATTATATTTTTAAAAAAAAACTTACTTTAAAGGGCTTATATTTAAAGCATAAAAATACTTTTTATACATTAAATAAAGCACTAAGATTTCTAAACCATAGGCACCATTTTCCAACTCCATGAAAATTTGTTGCATATTTGCCCTTTTTTCTTAGTATTTGGGTTTGCTCTCAGTGCCTTGAGTTCCTTGTGGTTTGCTAAGCAGGTGCTCTACCACTTGAACCATGACCCTAGTCTTCTGTATTTTTTTACTGCTTTTTTAAAGATATACTTTCAGGTGAGGTCTTACATATTTTTTGCCCAGGGCTGATCTAGGACCATGATCCCTCTGTGTAGTGTCTCCCAAGGGGCTCAGTTGACAAGCTCATGCCATCAAACCCAGCTACTGGTTGAAATAAGAATCTCATTGTTTTATTTGGGCTGTGTTTGAATCACAAGTCTCTGACCTCCACATTCCAGATAGTTAGTCTGATATGCAAGAGCCACTGTGCCTAGCCGTGAATCACTTTTTCTTATGTGTTACTTTAAAGAAAATGAAGTTTTTTATGGTGTCTCAAAGAATTGGTTGTTTTAAGAATTTAAGTTATATCCTTATGCAGTTAGCCGTAGTTCTCTACCCAGAACTTCTTAGTTTTCATGCTAACATTCAGATTCTCAATTAAACAGTTGAGAAGTTTAAGAGGAATACGTATATTTATAGGTTTAAATTACTTACATTTTCCACACATTTTCAGTAGTGGTAGTAACTTAGAAAATTTTTGTTTTCTAAATTATGATACACTGACACCTCTAAAATTTTATTTTGACAATATACAGTCGATCTATAATCTGTTAAGTCTATCAGCCAAAACAGTGCTGCATTAAGCAGTTGTGATGTGGTTTTGGAGTTTTTATCAGAAAACTTATTAGCCAAAAAAAATCAGTTCCCCTACTTTGGGTGACTCAACATTTTGACCAACTTTATAGAGATATGCTATATAGAAGCTATTCTGTTATATGCTGGCCTAACAATATTGATTCTTGAGTTTCTATTAGTATCTATGAAAAGTATCTGTAATTTCCAAAATATCCTCAGCTTCTGGAAGAACTATATAGCATGAACTTCTTAGACCATCATAATCTCTTTGACAATGTTTTCAAATGGAAAAATTTGCAAACATTATATTTGCCTATTTAACTATCTTGCCATTGTTTTTTACTCAATAGGAGTGCTCTGGGGGCAGTTTTTAATGCCTAATGAAGAAAATGGGAAGACTATTAGAACTAACCACCATTCATTTTGATAGCTTGATAATAATAAGTAGCCATTGATTTGTAGAAGGGGATAGACTAGCTCTGGGACTTTAAACATTGTTATATGATAAAATGCATGCCGGCTCCTTGTTTTCCTTCCTTTAGCTATTAAGAATCAGGCTACAGGTCACTACATTTTAAATGGCAAAGGGGAGGAGGCCAAGTCCCGAACATTTATAGATCTTGGTGTGGAATGGGATTACAGCATTGAGGACGACATTGAGACTCTTCACACTGATGGGCCCTTACATGATCCTGTCATGGTTCTGGTATGTGATATGAGAGGGTCTGATGTGCAGTTGGCTTACTTTTATGATTGTTGTACCTGAACACACTTTTACCTTGGGCATTGCATAGATACTTTTCCTCCTAATCTCTGTGAAATACTGCCATACATTTTAGTAATATAAACTTGAATATAAGTATTATCATTTTTTATTTAAGAAGTTGTCTTCCAAAGACAACAGAAAGGTAAGATTTTTATTTACCCACATTTCCAATGTTCATTCTTCCTTTCAAATCTGACTTTCAATTTATTAATATTTACTTTCAGTAGAAATAACTTCCCTTAGCATTTCTTTTGTTGAGGAACTACTATCGGACAATTTTACCTTTGTGTTTGAAGGTATCTTTACTGGATTAGAATTCGTTTTTTGGTGGTGATGGGGTTTGAACTAAGAGTCTTATACCACTTGAACCATGCTCCCCCAACAGTTTTGCTTCTGATAAATTTTTAAAGAGAATCTTGTTCTTTGCCTGTGTTGAAATGTGATACTATTTATGCTTCCCACATTGTTTTAGTTACAAATGTGAATCACTAGTTAGCTTTTTATTGATTAAAGTGGGGTCTAAACTTTGCCTGAACTGACATAAAACTGATCCAGTCTCCACACAGATGTAAGCCTGTACCTGGTGGGGTTGCTATTATTTCCCTTAATGTCTATTTACTTAAAGAAAGTCATTATCTTTAAGTAGTTGTACAAAGGGTTTCAATTCTACATGTCAGTTTATGAGTACATATGAGCACAATGCATCCTGATCAGTGGTATCCCTTTTATCTTTCTCCTCCATGTCTCCCAACCCCACCCATCCTTTCAGTTTCTCTGGTGTTATTTTACATACATACATTGAGTATTATGAATGAGATGGTCTCACCCTTCCTCTTCATTCATCTGTTCTCCCTTTGTTCTCATTCCCAACCCCAACACTTCAAATGTACATGTTCTGGGGATAGAATACTAGAGGATTTGGAGGGGGGAGTGTCTAATCAAAAAGAAAAGGAATGTCTATATAGTGACAGTAGCACACACAAACTTTACATAGGTGCATGTTTACAACTATGGTTAGCACCTACAGACCCAGGGAAGCCAGGAAGAAGAGGGAAGTTGAGCAAGAGGGCGTACCTGTTTAGGGGATATACTCAGCACCATCAGGGATTCTGCCTCGTGAGTTTCTGAGAGCAATATCCTTCCTTACACCCAGTCTTATTTACACTTAGCAGTTGCATTATGCCATTTCATACAAGTGTGAAGCACACAGGCTCTAAATGACTAAAAAAAATATCTTGTTTGGGCTACATTGCAAAGAATCAGATGTGTAAAATTTTGTTGTTTTTAGTGTCAGAGGAATTTTGAGTTAATAGTTATCAGCCTATTGTGAAGAAAAAAAAAAAGAGCCAGGATGTATCTTAAATCCACGGCTAGGACATTTGTCTTCCAGATCTGCTTTTTATGGTCAAAACTTCATATATTGCTGCTCTCCAAGCCACAGTGTGCCAATTTTCTCTGCCTGTTTTGAGTACTTTAGTTTGAGGTTTGCTGGGAATCTTCACTATGTGTTCATGGTTAGTTTTTATTGTCCCCTATTTGGTTAATTTTCTATTATATCTTCAGGGTAGCTGCTCCAACTCCATCATTGCCTTTTCTACTCAGAGGTCTTAAATTTTAGCAAGGATTTATTTTAGTATAGCAGGATAAACAAGGGAGAAACATTTCCTGTTCTCTACACAGGAAATGGGAGTAAAAGACTCTATTCATGTCTTATTTTACATACATGTTGAACCAGTTAAAATTGTTCCACAAGTCTTAGGCTCTACTTATTCTTTTATAATTTTCATAAAAAATGTTCAGATTGCATAATTTCTATTGAGGTCTCATTAAATTTACTGTTTTTGTTTATTTGATCTCTAATTCTGTCTGTAATTTTTTCATACTTTTCTACTATGTCCATTTAGCTTTTCTTTGTTTTCATATCTTTTTTTATTTCAGTAATTTCCATTTCTCTGCAGGTTCATTTATTTTTTCCAGCTATTATTAAATTCTGTATCTCCATGCTGTCTGGTTCCCTTGACTGCTAATTTCTTTATGATTACTAGCTATAACTCTCTGCTTATGCTTAAAACTTTTTTCCACTGGACATTATGAATGAAAAACTGGTTATTTGGTTTTGTTCATCATGTAAGTCTTTGAAGACCTGGTTTCATTCTTCATTCAGACTGGTCTACCAATTTTGTTCTTACTCCTTTGGAAAGTTCTTAGCTGAGTAGCTCAAGTATGAACGAGGTACCTCTGCTGGATAAGAAATTTGACTTCTGCCCTGCCTGCTGTTTGGTATCATTGTCCCATTCCTAACCAGCAGTGGCCACTCATGATAGAGCATAAGGTAATTTGGCCTGACTATGAACAGACCAGCACTCAAATAAGGAACCTGGGGATCTTCTAGGCTCCTCCTACAGTCTGTTTCCTCTTAATCTCTAAACCCTAATCTCCATCCACTGTGGGGGCTGGCTGCACTTGTCTCTTGTTCTCCTGTCTGGGGGCTTATTTCTCTTCTCAGTCACACAGATCACTGGTCGCCTCTCTTCAATTCCATCATACAGTCTTTATGTTCTTTCTAATTTCATAGTTCTTTTTGTCCATCAACGTGACACCTCCAATAATCTACTTGACTTGAAATGTGTTCTTTGATTCTTGGTTAAAATTTGTTATTAACCTAAAACCAAATTTCCCCAACCTTGTCTTTTCTCTTCTAAAAAATAATTTCCCTTTTTCAGTGTCTTCAAGTATTTGTAAAATTTTCTTTTGTAAAATTTTTGACAGTTATTATTCTTTCTATAAGTTTGGTGAGTTCCTCTGTGAAACGTGATTTGCAAATATTCTAGTCCACAACTGGACTTCAGTGAGGGAAAAATTTAGTTGGGATCAAATCTAGCCAAACACTCTGTCACTGAGCTATATCCCCAGCCTTTTTCTTTTCTCCTTCTGAAGTTGTCCTTTCTATTTAAAGTTAATTATACAAATGTATCTGACTGTTTCTGGACTCTCAGACAAAAATTGTTTAGTTTTGGCCCACTGGTTATAATGTAACCACAGGAAGACACAGGAGGGAGAATTTGTAGCTAGGAAAGGTAGAGTTGCAGGTCAGAAGGGTCTTTCTTTTCCTCTTAAAGAACTGGAACTTGAGGTTGGGAGCCACAGAGCATGGTGGCCAGGTTGTCATGATTGAAAAAGTTAGATGTCTGTCTAGACAGAATGAGTTGATATTTGACTCTCAATCCTGTTTTAAACACAGGTTAAGGAAATACAACACAGATATTAGATTCTTTACCCAATGGGCTCTCAAACAAAAGCTATGTCTAAAACATTAAAATTGCATGGACTGCACATATTACCCCTTGGTATAATTCATTCACCTAAGCTATATAGAATGGCAAACAACAGAGAAAATATTTGTGATTAATGCCTTTAGTATGTAGAACTTTTTAGAAATTAAAATGTGTACCAATTAAAGAGGCTGACAATTATGCAGTGCACAGTGGACAAAAATACAAGTGAGAAATCAGTTTGGAGGAATTGAACTTGGTAAGTTATGAAATAAATAAAGATCTTTTTCCAGTACAGTTTGTGAAGGTAAAAACTTTAAATTAGGACATTTTAACATAGTCTTATTTATGAAAATTACAATTGCTTTATCTCTGCTGGCCATTCACCAGTCTATTACAAAAACAATAAATATGCTGTTAGTCTACTGGAAATCTTCTTAATGATAGAGACCATAATATGTACTGAAAGACAAATTTTTATGTCTAAAGATCAGCATCTTTAAAACCATGTTATATAAAAATATTTACATGTTATCCAAGAAAAATTGTGTGACTTATTATGGGAAATAAGCAGGAACAGACAAACACGAAAGTGACTTTCCTTTTCTCTTGTTTGGTAGAACTATGAATGGGTTTTAAATATATTTTTCCATAATATATTTTGCCTTGAGGGAATATCATTATTGCAAAAGAGCTTATTATTTTTAAAAACTTGAAAATACACAGATGGTAAAATTTAAGGAAAACTATGGTGAAGGTTATATAAATACAAACTTAACTCCTTAATGTATGCAGTTCTTTGAAGCATTTTTATGTTCAAACTTTTATATATTTTTTAAATATATTTATTTTCTTATATATTTTTTTCTTTAACTGTGTGCCTTGCACTTGGATTGATAAAAGTAAAAATGTTATATAAGAACAATATTGTGAAATGTTTAGTTTTTTCACTCAAAAAATAAAGCTTTTTATTTCATGTGTGTTTTAGATTATACCTAAAGAGAATGATACCCGCTCCCGCTTGACGTATAAGTATATCATCCATGAAGACTCCGTGCCTACAATTAACAGCAACAATGTCATTCAGGAAGAATTAGATACTTTTGAGTGGGCTTTGAAGAGTTGGTCTCAGTGCTCCAAACCCTGTGGTGGAGGTAAGAAACAAAAAGTTATAGTTTTAACATGAAATTCATTCAAAAGCCAATCGTGCTTCTACCTCTAATTGAAATACCAAGAATAACAACCAAAATGCAAGTACCAACCATGGTTATTGAAAATCCCAGAATCAGCAAAGCAGGATATTTCATTCATTACAATGGGGACCACAGAATCTCCTTGCTAATTTCTCTTAGGTTATATCTATGTTCAGTGCGGTGGTTACACGTAATCACTTTTCCATAACTCCAAAACTGTCCCAAATCAGTGTGCATAGATTATCACCTTTCTTCTCTTTTTTCTTTTTTTTTTTTAAAGTAGAGTAGGTGCACAAAGGGGTTTCAGTTTCCCAAAAGATTAGATTATGAGAACAATACAACTTGATCAATGTTACTTCTTCCATCATTCGCTTCTATTTTGATAATTCTATAGCTGATTATGCTCTGTATTTGGATCCAGCTTTTACCTGGAGTGCTTACGTATCCCTGTAAAAATACTCAACATTGGCCTAATGAGATGGGTGTATTTCACATCCATTTTACTGATGGTAAAACCCCTATACCAAGGAAGCTAACTAGTGTTGTTCAATTCTCCCATCATTCATTCCTCTAATTCTGAAAAATACTGCTGTGTTGAGCTGGCTAAGATAGAATTCTCCCCAACAGGAAAGGGAAGGTGAGGCACTATCATAAAAATGATTGTATACATAACTGTAAACAACACTATTCATGTAGGGAATGCCTGAGTTAACCATTTTTATAACTTAAAATTGAAGAATGTATTCCTAAAGTGTTTCTAAAGTTAGTAGGAACTTTTACATAATTAATCTTTTTTTATTTGTATTTTTTGCTAGTCCTGGGGCTTGACCTCAGGGTCCTGGGCATTATCCTTGAGAGTTTTTGCTAAAGACTAGTGCTTACCACTTGAGCCACACCTCCATTCTGGCATTTTGGTTGTTCGAGATAATTGTCTCAAGAGTTTTCTGCCTGGGCTGGCTTTGAATCATGATCCTCAGATCTCAGCTTCCTAAATAGAATTACAGGTGTGAGCCACTGGCTCCTGCTTAAGAACATCTCTTTATCCATTACAGGTTGGTCATTTAATTCAGATTCTCCTTGCACCATTACATCCTCTTGGTCCTAATGCAGGTCATGCCCATGTGGCTCCTTCCTGGCCAGGCTTCCTTCCCTGTTTTGGAAGGGAGAGTTATGGCAACAACCTTTGACTGATGGTAATTTTCTACTATTCCTGTATCCCTAAGGTAAAAACTTTTTGAGGGAAAAGTAGGACTACGTTATTTTAAAATCCTCCTATCTTTTAATGTAGTATTGTCACCTGCAAATAACTGGATCATCATGAGTATGCATTTAAGCAAAACTGCCGGACATTTTACAAAATTGATTTATTCATTTCAAAAATATTGATTGCAATGAAAAACAAAAGTGATTAAAAATAGTCATAATGCATCTCAGAGGCTAGACAGATTAGCAGTTCAATGTAAGATACAATCTTGAGTTGGAAGAGCACTGCTACAGGGATCATTGGGAGGACATATAACCGGTTTTGTCTATATATTCAATGTTAAATGTCCTGCTTCTAAGAATCATACAGTGTTTCTAAGGATCAAGATGTCTGCAAGTTAAATTCTCAGTTCCGGGAAGATATTACACAGAGTAAAATGGTAGCTATGATGGATAGTAAATGTGTTGACATGCTAACAAAAGATTAACCTAGGTGCAGCAATCTGGGTTTTGTGCTTTCTTTACAAATTTTTGTAGATTTTGAAATTTTTTCCAGACCAGTAATTGTAGAAATCAAAATTGAAAATATTGGGAGATCTCCTTATCTCTGGCCTCTTCATATGTGACACACCTGAAGTGTCCTGTCTCTAGAATTTAATTCTGCTTCTTTTGCTTTTACCCATACATTTTGAACTTCAAGATTTTTTTTTTGCTCAAGGAAGTTGGGCTCTTATAAGGTTTTGTTGCTTTTTCTCCAGGAAAGCTTTAAGGTGCCCTCTGCATAGTTATTCACATAATAGTATGAAGCCTCTGGCACCAGTATTGATTATCACACTAAAATGCATATACTGCATTTATTTAAATTCACTGGAAAGTGTGCATAATTGATGTTCTGTAGCTTCTAATAAATTTTAAAAGATTAGGAATTTTCACCTTCAATTGAAAGTGATGGAACCTCTTACCCTTCTTACCTTTGCACTTGGTTTACTATGTGCACTCAAAATATTCCTTGAATGAATATTCAAAAAGGGTATTTCTTTTTCCAGGTTTCCAGTACACTAAATACGGATGCCGGAGGAAAAGTGATAATAAAATGGTTCATCGTAGCTTCTGTGAGGCCAGCAAAAAGCCAAAACCCATTAGACGAATGTGCAATATTCAGGAATGCACACATCCACTGTAAGCATCTAACTGTCCTATTCTGAGAGTGAAATAGGGGTTTGGCTCATTTAAATTTTTACCCATAAGCAAAGCATATATAAGGATTATATTAAAGCTGTGGTTGCTGCCTCTTAGCTGCTAACATACACCACTTTCTTGATTCAAGGTTTGGGCAGAGTTAAATATTGAATATCTACTGTGCATTGTGAGATAGTTTAGCACTGTGTACAGCAAACATAAACCATACTTATTCCTTTCCTATGCTTCCATATTGGTTTTTGGGGCTTCCTTCAGTATGTCTTTGTTTCCATTCCTCTGAGAATTTTCTTCTCCAATAAATGTATGTCTTCATTTTCTCCATTTTTATTAGCATATATTACACAAAGGGGGTTTCAGAGTGACATTTCCATACCGGACGTTGATCAAATTCGTCCTATTTACTCTTCACACCCCTTTCTAAGAGTTTTTAGTGAATTTCATCATACTACTTTTATGTAACGTAAATTCATGATTATTCACTCCTCTCCCCAAATACTATCTTTTCCTGGAGAATAAATTTCTTCTAAGCACTCAGGGACAGAAGGGTTCTTTTCAGTCTTAGTCTAAACTCTACCCAGCTTTCTCCTGGGGATTCTCATTGTCTCTGTTTGAAAGGAATCTCATTTCCTGCATTAGTTGTCTTCTCATTTCTTGGTTCATTCTAGAAGTTTCAAATTTAGGTAAAATTGCAAAAGATGTCATTTTCTATCAACTTTGATGTTAAAAACATTGATATCTACCACTGAAAATTAGTTATTTTTCTCTCTCAAACTAGGATCTGTTGTTTCCTAGTATCTTAAGATTTCACAGTAATGAAGGGGCCGTGACCCTCATTTTTCCTAATGCTCTGGGCTGTGTAGTTGTAGATCTTTTAAACTGACTAATCATACTTAAGAGCTATAATGTAATACTGTGAGACAGAATGGTAAAAATCAAGCTAAGCTAATGAGCATAATCCTTCCCCTTCTATAATTTTCTCTGTGTTGTGAACCTTTTAAAATCTGCTCTGAGCAATTCTGAAATACGCATTACATTATTATTAGCCCTACTCAATTTTTAAATCCAATATCATGTCCTGTAAGCTACCCCTCCACTCCTCTTTTCTTCTTGGGCTTAATTTTATTCAGACTGTTTAGAGTCCTTTCCAAATTATTTCCCCTCAAATATGAAATGCTAAAATGTAATCATGCACCCTGACTTTACCTTTCAGTTTTTTCCCAGAAAGAACTGACCAAAACAGGATAAAAGGGTCCTTCACCGCAACAGCTGTTTAAATAAGTAAACTCTATAGATTTCATGAAAGCATATTAAAAAAAAAAGCAGTAACCTTTTTGTCTTAGTACGCATCTGTGGCATTCCTAGTTTTATTGACTTCCTGGATTTCATTGCCTGATCTTAGCCAGGGTAATCTTAAGAACAGGTTCAGAATTCCCAGGGCCAAATCGCCAAGTAGATGAAAAATAAAACTGATGTTAGAAAGTCAGAGCTGCTTTGGGCTACTGTGTGCCCTGCTAGGCTGTGGTCACCCACCGGGAGAGCTAGGTGGGGATGTGCACACCATGCATCCCATTGACTGTTCTGTCTCCTCTCTCTGCAGCTGGATTGCAGAAGAGTGGGAACATTGCACCAAAACCTGTGGCAATTCTGGCTACCAGATCCGCACCGTACGCTGCCTCCAGCCACTCCATGATGGCACCAACCGCTCTGTGCACAGCAAGTACTGTGTGGGTGATCGTCCTGAGAGCCGCCGGCCCTGTAACAGAGGGCCTTGCCCGGCCCAGTGGAAAACCGGGCCTTGGAATGAGGTAGGTGTGAGAAATTCTGTGTGCAGTAAATTTTAACTTGACTTAAACATCAGGTAGGCTTTGTGTAAACTGAGGAACTGGCATGTTTTCTAATCATCTCGGGTTGGTAGGAAATTTTAACACTTTAAAACAATACTGCAGTTAAAAATCAGGGCCAGTGGCTCAGGCCTGTAATCTTAGCTATGCAGGAGGCTGAGGATCAAAGCCAGCCCAGGCAGAGAAAGTCCATGATACTTTTATCCCCAATTATCCACCAAAAATCTGGAAGTGGGGTATGGATGGCTCAAGTGGTAGAGTGCCATCCTTGAGCAAAAAAAGCCAGAAGATGAGATCCTGAGGTCAAGCCCCAGTAAACAAATTACTTGGTAGGAACAATCCATATTTGTGTGCATTTGTAGCATGAAGGTGTGTCTAAAAGATATACCAAGATCTTTGTTCATTTCTATTTGTACACGCTAAATTCCAAACAGACCTTGCTTGTTGAAGAGTACTAGCTTCCACTTGGCTTGTTTTTGCCAGGGTCCAAATTCCCACCTGCTGTGAAGCTTAGCTGTAGCAAAGGACTGACACCTCTCTGAGTCTGTGCAGTTTTCCAAAACATCATCCTTTGCTTCCTCAGCATGCAGCCATTGCCTGGTGAAGGATGATGTTTGGTGATAGGCTGACTCATTGTGACCTTGCCCATATTGTCACCTGTGTTTGGTATTTGTAAAGAGTTATGGGCCATAAGAAGGGTTAAAGGAGAAAGGGAATCAAAGAGCACAGAGGAGGAAGCATGCAAGTGAGGGTCGTCCATGCTGAGCAGTGAATACAACTAACATCCCATTCCTCCCAGAGAACAAAGGTGCTTCTTCATAGCTTGGAAGTTGCTATCTTCATTAAGAAATAAATTTATAGGAGTAAAGCAACAGTAGTTACTGTGATGAAGCTGAGTTCATCAAGGCCATCCTAATGGCTTCTGGGTTGTGTACCAGACATCTTACTTCCTTTGCTCTTAGTCCCACAGCAGTACTCTGAGGCAAGAGTCACTATGGAAGCTTTCCAGATGAGGATATTGAAATTCAAACAGAAAAAGTACCAGGTTGAGGATGGTAAATGATGGAGCCCTTGTTTAAACCCTGTCTTCAAAACCACTGCTAATAATCATGGCCCCAGTAGAGAAACAACCACCACAGAACTATGGGGACCGTGAGTGCACATGGCTTCCAGTCTTGGTGGAATAAACCACTAACAACAGCCTTTATCTCTGTAGTGTTCAGTGACCTGCGGTGAGGGAACAGAGGTGAGGCAGGTGCTGTGCAGGGCTGGAGACCAATGCGACGGGGAAAAGCCCGAGTCTGTCAGAGCCTGTCAGCTACCTCCCTGCAATGGTAAGTGGGATCTCACTGTTCTGATGTTTTTTTTTAAACTTTTACATGAGTAAGGTACATTTCTCGTTGAACACTGTTACCCACTCCATTATTGTTCTCCAACTATCCCTGCCCTCTCAGGACTCCACCCCCACCACGAAGCTGTAAAGTTCATTTCCAACATTGTGTCCTGTGAGTATCATTGGTGCAATGGGTCATCTTTTGTACTTCTTTCAGCATTTTGTTATTTCCCTTTCCCCAATCAGATAAATGCATATCCCTGGCAATCTGTGGTACCCCCCATCTGATGATGATTTTAAACCTAGCAAAGCAGAGAAATAAGCAAAGGAAAACATCCTTGCAGTTTTAGCCTGACTGCTGCTGTGACAATGGCCCACCTCACCTACCCGTAACATTGGAATGGTGCAGTTTCGTGTGTGTAGAGATCTTGCCAATTTAGATCTGTAATGAGGGCTACTTATTTTTATTCATTATGTTCTTAAAGTAAAATTTCACATTATTTCACACCATGTTGATACATTAATTTTAGCAAATATGGCCTAGCAATTGGCTATATTTCAAAAATAATGTGTATTTTCTTTGGTTTCCATCTCTGTATCAGCCTGTCTCATTTTGCCCTCTTTTCTGTGTTCCACACGTTAGGGGCCTATTTCTACTCTGCCCCCAGGCCCAGTTACCTCTCGTGATTTGACACATTTTGAGATTCAGGATTAAAGGTTTCTTTTCCCCAGCCTACAAATCCCAAAGTAAGCCACAGATATTGACATATGCTATGCTTTTCAACAAAGTTGAATGTTTTTATATTTTGAAGTTTCAGGCTTTAAATCTTAAAAATAATTTTCATTATACAATGGCAAGTACAGATATGACCATGAGGGGGAGACATAGCACTTACAATTTGCTTTTTTGGCTTTGGTTTTGAAGTAAAATGATTTTGTATCTGGTTTAAAACCTTAAAATTTACTACTGCTATCTCTCTATATATATTATGTTGCATATATACACATTATATTGCACGTATATAATATATACTATATATTATATTGAATATAATATATACATGAATATAATATATACACATATGTGTGTGTATAATTTATGAAATTGACAGGCTGAACTCTTTCCAGGAAAGCTTGATTGATCTTAAAATCTAGTAGACATAGCTAAAATATGGAACCAACCCAGATGAATGGATCAAGAAAATGTTTTATATATACACAATGGAATTCTATGCCTCCATCAGAAAAAATGACATTGCCCCATTTGTTAGGAAATGGAAAGACTTGGAAAAAATTATATTAAGTGAAGTAAGCCAGGCCCAGAGAAACATAGGTCCCATGGTTTCCCTTATTTGCAATTACTAGTATATGTCTAGGACAATCAGAAAAGGTCAAAGGCTATGTACATATGACCATATAAGATGATGCAAAGCAAAATGACCAAGATAGGGACATGAGGTTTTATCTTTCTTGCTGTTCTTTTTAATATACTATGTGACTTTTTTTCTTCCTTTTGTATGTTCCCCCCCCCCTTGGTATAGCCCCTATTTTTACTGTATTTGATTCCTGTGCCCTGCATCTTGTATGTACATTTTTGGAGGAGAAGGGAAATAACAAAATGCTGAAATAAAGATACAGGATGACCCATTGTAACAGCGAGATGTACGAGACACTTGTTGAAAATGAACTTAACAACTTGGTGGCGGGGGGGAGGGAGGAGTTGGGGAGGAAAGGGATGGTAGGGGAAAAACAGAGGGGTAACAATGCTTGACAGGAAATGTACTCATTACCTTACTCATGTAACTGTAACCCCTCTGTACAGTATCTTTCCAATGAAAATATTTTTTAAAAACCTGGTTAATTTTTCTATCAGACATGGGAGCTATGGAGAAGTTCCACATTTCTCTGCTAATCTGTAACTCTGAAATCTACGCCTAAAGGCCACATATTTCTGCTACATTTTTATCAAATAGGTAAAAATTCCCCTGAGTCAGCGTCTATTGTAGAACCAAATGGACATTTGAGATCAGATGTAAAAATTCTTTTTCCTGACCTACTCATGTGGGGGTAGAGCAAGAAAGTTGGAAATTTTCCTTAACTGATTTCGTTGCCTTTCTCATGTATGACAAGAAAAATTATGGTGAAGAAGTGGCTAAAGATTCCTCTATGTGCATTTGCCCTTCCTCCATCTCTCTCCCCTTTCCTCTTCTACACAGAAGTATATTCTGGTTTTAAAAGAGACCAGGCTCCAATTACAAAGTACTCACACTTTACAGAGTCTCCCATTTACAATCTTCCTCCAGCAACAAGGGAACACCTCATACTTTTGTACTCAGGAGGTTAAAGCCTAACCTATTCCTTATTTTGTACTCAGGAGGTTAAAGCCTAACCTATTCCTTATTTAAGGACATAACTATTGACCATTGACCATTTGAAGTGAAGCCCACTAATGATCCTCAGCCATTCACAACATCAACTACAGTGACTTTAGCTGTAATATGATTCAGTCTATAATTTGAGATGTGGACATAGCATGATAGATCTTAGGATAATTCCTGGTCTGACCTGATATAAGTACATACTCATTTTGCATGAACTTAGTAAATAATAGTGTGGGTGTATATAGAGAAACATCAAATACTTTGAGAGTAACTTCATTACCTTAATTCCTTAAGAAAGTATTAAGGGAATGAATCAACCTTAGCTCAAGAAATATGGCCTATTTCATGCAAATTTGTGCTTCCAACAGTAACCTAAGAATTTTCACTGGTAAACACTTAAAGTAGAAGGGACACTGGGACACTATTAGAAAGGCAGAAATTCAATATAAAACGAGCATAAAAATATAAGCCTTTTTTTTAATCTTGACAAATATCTGTGATGGTTCTCATTTCCCACTCTCTCTCTGAGACCCAAACTACCCTGCTAAACATTAAAATGGTAGTGGTAATGCCAATGGCTGTGGCTAAAGAACTTCCTATTTCAGTGAATTCAGCCTAACGTATGTTTTCACTTTTGCAGATGAGCCATGTTTGGGAGACAAGTCCATATTCTGTCAAATGGAGGTGCTGGCCCGATACTGTTCGATTCCAGGTTATAAGAAGTTGTGTTGTGAGTCGTGCAGCAAGCGCAGCAGCACCTTGCCACCACCCTACCTTGGAGAAGCTGCTGCAACTCACGATGATTCTATCTTCAGTTCGAGTGACCTCTCAAAATCTCTAGTGATGCCTACACCTTTGGTTCCTTACTATTCAGAGACCCCTGCTGAGAAAAAGTCTTTGGGAAGTCCACACGCACATGCTGCTTTCAGCAGACCTGATGGTGCTAACTCACCCCAGCGAGGAGCACAGCAGGCTGGAAGTAAGACTCTGACCCTGGTCTCAGAACCATCCTCCTCATCCACCAAGGGTGCTGGCCACCTTGATTCTGCTTCACAGGTGGCTGCTGCATCCTTCCTTGACATCAGTGATTCCACAGGTGCTTCTTCTCAGGCAAGAACCTCAAAGAAAGATGACAAGATAATCAGGTTGCCTGTTTTAGAAAGATGAGAAGATAGATCTCGAAACCTGGACAACCTCTCTCTCTGCATGGTGCATACAGCTTGTTCAAAGTGGGAATCTCCATAGATGGTTTACTTTTATCGGTTAAATGGAAGTACATAAAGTGCTGGTTCACTTTCTCGTGGCTTTTATCCTCCCTTTTTATTCTGCATTGACTCATATCACCAGAATTCATCGGAAGAAAGGACCAAAGATATGTTCACAAAAAGACAGTGTATTGCGGAGTCTGGTGGCTGCTCTCTAGAAGGGACTGGAACCAATTGTGCATATCAGCTGATTTTTTTAATGCCAACGGTTTACACCTCAAGAAATTTTGGAAATAGTGCAAAGAATTGTTAGACTTGTATTCCTATTTATCTATATTAGAAATATTGTATGGGCAAATTTGCAGCTGTTGTGTAAATACTGTATATTGCAGAAATCAGTATTATTTTAAAGAGATGTTCTTGAATGATTGTTTACTATCTTACATTTCTGGATGTTCTAGGTGCCTGCCATTGAGTATTGCCTTATTTGACATTCCATAGGTTGATTTTTTTCAAAGCAGAATATTATGAAGAAGTTAGAATTACAGCTACTGACAATATAAGAAGCTTTGTTGTATGGTTTTTGTTGAATCAACAATGTGATACTTAAATTATAGAAAAAGCAGAGAACTGAAAGATAAACAGATCTCATCTATTCCCTATTGTTGCTACAACTAAAACACAAAACCCAGGATTGATAATAATTAGAGCAGTAAATGAACCTTTACAAGACAAATGGTCTTGCCAGGACCTCATTTTGCACCCTTGTGATTTTTTTAATTTTCCTATTGCTGATATACAAACGCTTATCCTTTTGAGTAGCTGAGAAAAATATCAGACTAGAAGTGACAGTGCTTTGAAAGCAGGTTCAAGGAAGTATTCGTTAATGGTTGAAATAATTTATTTTCTGCATGGTTCATATCCAAATATTCACAACCACAATGCATCCGACTGCAATAATGTGCTAGTAATTTATGTCAGTGATCACCTTGCTCACAGTGAAGCCAGAAATGCTCTCTCCAGGGAGTAGATGTAAAGTACTTGTACATAGAATACAAAACGGAAAATATTTATTAAAAGTTGATTTTTTTCTTGATAGTATTTTTATGTACTAAATATTTACACTAGTAACAAAGAAATATTTTGGTAAACTAGAGAGAGAATTTTCTGTGCCATAGAGGAGAAATTAATGCAAAGCCTATCACCACAGCCAATTCAAAGCTAAAAATCAATTTAATCTCATGTAAACAAACCTTTTTTTGCCTTTTTTTTAAAGTAGTCCATGCAAAGCTGTTTCCCTTGATGGAAACATAAAATAGGAATTCAGCTACAGCTATGTCTTTAATGAACAGTGAATTAGAAACATTTTAAGGTGTATGAAAGATAAATATTCCACAAATGACACGTAAAGTGTCCTAAGCAGAAGGTTCGAAGACAATATTTGTAAACTATAAACATATTAACCTGTCAAAGCACAGATGTTCAAGGACTTCTACATTTTGCTAGTAAACAGCCTCAAACATTGATTCTATACCTCTAAAATGAATCGCTGCTACTTTGTAAAACACATTGGGTGAATTCCAGATAGTAAAACAATCCCTGAGCCTTGAAGTTATTTTCCCCCCCTAAGAGTATTACCAGAATGAGATTCTCTCTAGTTTACTTGCATGTGCATAAGTCTAGTCCACAGGGACTATGAAGATGGTCAAACACACACACCTCCCATAAAGATGGACAGATTTATTCTACTTCTGACCTATGAGCTTTCTCTTCTACTAAGCTAAAAAATTACTTTCCATCGAAGTGTACACTACTGATGCTGTTTGTTGTATTGGGAACATGTAGCAATAAAAATAAAAATGTTAAAATAGAGATCTGACTTGACCTAGATTTTTATCATTAAAATGCTGGATCCTATAGTAATGGAAACATGTAATTTCCTTCTCCAAACAGAAATGGCATCAAGTTCATTTGCTACAAGCGAGAGCCAGGGCACTGGTGGCTCATACCTATAATCCTAGCTACTCAGGAGGCTGAGATCTGAGGACTGTGGGTCAAAATCAGCCAGGTCAGGAAAAAACACTAGACTCTTATCTCCAATTAATCACCAGAAAACCAGAAGTAGCACTGTGGCTCAAGTGGGAGGAACACTCACCTTGAGCTGAAGAGCTCAGGGACAGCATCCAGGTCCAGAGTTCACAAAAACAAAACAACAACAACAACAAAACCAAGAGGTTCTGGGGGTAGAGGGTGGTTTTCTGCTTCATTCTGTCCCACAGAACCTCAGAGAGAAAAGATGGAGATTTATGAAAAGGAAGGGAGTGGGGGCTTCAATTATTTTAAATGTGCAACATCTGAGTGGCTTTGAACCTGGATTAGCCAAAGCTTGGTGAGAACAAACAACTCAAGTCTCAGGACTATCAGGGAGGAGGGAACACACAGTGAATGGCTTTTTATTATGAGAGCAGGAAAGGAGACACTATGCAATGGTGATTAGCACTATGAGCTGCAAAGCTAAAAGGCTCAGGTTTGATCTCCTCCTGCAACTTCATACTTGAATGACCTTAACCAACTTCACTAAGTTTTGGTTTGCTTATCTATTGGAGGCAGTTTCAAGAAGAAACATTGCCTGACTTAGGTAACTGTAACCCCTCTGTACATCATCTTTACAATAAAATTGTTAAAAATTGGAAGAACTGACATACATGTTTACTATGAGAAATGAATTAATAAGTACAGCTGCAGAGCCTAGCCATTATACCAAGTCCTCTATTCTCCTCATCATTGTATACTTGAACCATAGCTTTAGTCTGATAACCACAGCTAGTTTAAATCCTGGTCACTAAAGCTCAGTGATGACAGGAAGAGAACATGATTTGGGAAAATTCAAAGACCACTCATCTTTAAAATTTGATAGAATGTACTAATTTAAAATGGTCTCCTGTTAGTGACTGTATGAAATTCTAGCTAATTATATACACTGTCCCTTTGCAAGCACTAGGAAATTATAGCTAATCCCTTAGTTTGACTATGAATTCCTCTCATGATACCCAATAGTGCCAACAAGCTATTCACAAATAAAAAGTGTTGCTCATACATTTAAACACAAGCAGAAAGTAATTTTTCAACAAAGAAACTAAACTATAAAAGAAGAAAGTGATCAAGATCTAGATAAATCAAGAATATCATTACTTGATAAAAAGTATTGTTAAAGAGGGTTAAGTAGGGCTGGGAAGGTGGCTCAGTGGTAGAGCGCTTGCCTTGCATGCCTGAGGCCCTGGGTTCGATTCCTCAGCACCACATAAGCAAAAAGAAAAAAGCCGGAAGTGGCGCTGTGGCTCAAGTGGTAGAGTGCTAGCCTTGAGCTGAAGGGCTCAGGAACAGCGCCCAGGCCCAGAGTTCAGGCCCCATGACTGGACCCAAAAAAATAAAAATAAAAATAAAAGAGGGTTAAGTATTTAAAATGAGGTAAAATATGCAAACTACATTAGAGTAAATGGAAATTATCAACACATTAATAGAAACATCAATTCCAGATACTTGTGGATAATTCAGAGACAAAGTTTAACAACTTCTCAAAATATTAACTATTAAATATGAGAAAGCATAGCTTACTAAGATGAATTTGACATCCAAAGTGTATATTTTAAGAAGAGCAAAGATGTGTATGAATTCATGCAATGTTATTATGCAAATTTATGATAGAATTTACCAGAGAATTACAAATTGCCCCTATCCCAACAAATGACAACTAAAATACTGGTCCTGAGCATTTTTGTTTTATAGTAAGTACTAATGATATTGTGATTTGAAACATTGCTGTTTTCCAGCCAATCTGTAATTTCATGCAAATAATTGGTTTGACTTATCATCTTTCAGCCAGTTAACAGCAATTAACCTAGGGCTGAGTGATACTATATATACTGTAATGCTGAGTAATACTTGATCTACCAATACCTCCAAAACATTCCATCAGGGAAGAGAAATATTATTCACCATATTATTCTTAATTGTTATCACTAGTGTTACTATTCCCTGGCATGTTGTATCACTTTGACAGTGATGGCAATGAAAGATGAAGCATTTAAAAATATCAATTTTAAGTCTTCGATGACCAACAGAATATTAAGCAAGAGGATGGTGAAAATTGCTTACAGGTGTCTATTTCTGCCACATTGCCTTAAGTATACTAAAACACACTTACTGCCTATATTATAATATGGGTTATTGAGGGAGGGGAAAGCCAAGCAGAAATTTGAAGTCCTAGATGAGATGGTCAACAGAATTACATATTTTCCACATTTTTAATAACCTCTGTTATTTGGAGACTGCATTTTGACATGTCTATGCATGCAATGTTCCCTGATCAGCCTGCCTCACTTCCCCATCCTCCACCATCACGCTTCCCTACTCCTCGTTTCAAGACCAGCTCAACAGGCTTTTGGTTCCATTGTAACAAATATACTTAAAGTATCACTGTATATTCCTTCCTTCACCTTCTCAGTTCACCCTCCACATTTCTACTAATACCCATTGTTGCTGAGCATATTCTTTTTCTGTTTTCAAGATTTTTTTTCTTAAAAAGTATATGGTCTCTGGACAATGTGCCTAGAGCTCCTAAAGTTTTAGTGAACATGAAGGACCTGGTATTACCCAGAGAGCCTTCCCAGCTAGATATGCAGATGGATGTTCACTGGACTCCCCTGTGGACATGCCTGGAACACCTACCTGAACTCACAGACTTGGTTGAGAGACATACTGATACCTGCTGAACTGACACTCCTAGGAAATCTCATAATGGAAAAAATACTATTAGGAGACATTAAATTATCATTTGTTTTAAAATTAGAATTCACATAGAAAAATTATACTTTGGAGAACTCAGTTGAAATGTATCTGACTCTTACTCTTGCTCACCCAAACCTCAAAGGTCAGGTTGTCATTTAATTCAAATTCTCTTTATCTAACCATAAAAGATAGGCAAGTTGCCTATTGAGAAGCCACAGGTAAAACACAACCACACAATTGGTTTCTTGTCACACTTTAAATCTGCAGATAGAATACAGCTCTAAGAATTCTTTGACTATTTTGAGTTACACCCTCACTGTCTCATCATTGATCCAAAAGAGAACCAGTTATAGCAAGAAAACTACTCACTGCCACATAAACACACAAGCACACATTTTCATTACTGCAAAGAGATGTGACAGGAAGACAATTAGGAAAACAACTGAAATTGCCCAAGAGTGTTAATAAAATAATCTCTTAAATATAATTTCATTTAATCTTCCTTATAATCTTAAGACATGTCAAACCATATATGCTAATTGATTTACATGAGCTTCAACACAGTACAACTTGCTAAGATATTGTTGATTTACACTTACAACAAGATATGTGATCTAAGAAATGTACTTCAGGAAAGATGACTAAGCTATCACAAGTATTCTCACATGAATATAACTACAATAGTATCTAAAATTAATTGTCTAGAAGTTTTAAATATTATTTTATCAGCTACTTCCTAATTGCTATCAGGATGAAGGCTACTTAAAAATTGATTTTACTCCACTATATTTATAATTTCTTTGATTTAGAGCTACATTATGATACATAGAAACATAATAAAAATTGGTAAGCCTGTAAAAGAAGTGGGTGATAAAAATCTCAGTGCAGCCAATCATGTAGAAATGAAGGGTCTAAATGATGTAAGGCGCTCAATTTTATTTCACAAATTTTGAACCGTGCCCTTCTTCTATTGAGAATTGTAACTTTTTCTTTTTTTTTGTAGCACCCAATAGACATGTCTTTTGTGTCTTCCATTTTAACTACAAAGGCAAGACTTCATTAGTACCTTATCAAATCCTAAAATTACCAAATCCTAAAACAAATGACAAAAAATGGTCATCTCAATAATATGCTACACAAAGAACAGCTATAAAGGTTGATCTATTTGCCATTCTTTTTTCTTCATGTATTCATTCCACAAGTGGTATATTTTTCTAAATCAAGGGTTGGCATTTTTTTTCCCATAAAGCACCAAACAGCAAATGTTTACAAATGTACCTAACACTGTAAGATTTTTGTTACAGTTTCTCAAGTTCTGTCAGCCTGAAAACATTGACAGACCAAGGAATGTGTGTGGCTAGCCCAGACATGTGATAGCAAGCTACATTTGATCCATAGCTATGGTCTGATGATCCCATATCTAAAGTAACAGCGGGCTATGAGGAAACCAAAGTTGCTGCTCTCAGAGAACTTATATTCTAAAATGACACATACAATCAAACATAAAACTATACATAAAATGTTAAGTGTGATTAAGGAATGTTTTATAGCAAGGTAAGGAGAAAGTGAAAAGTAAAAATAAAAAACAATTCAGAAAAATTAAAGATACAGAAATAAATGGCACATCATATGCTAAAAGAACTGTGCTTCTTAAAGTTGTAGAAACAGTTATGGAAATGAAGATAACAATGTGGAATAATTTTTCTCTTATCCGAAAAGAAATTATTAAAATAATTGATAATTTAGCTGGGTTCTGGTGGCTCATGCCTGTAATCCTACAACTATTAATCTACTCAAGAGGCTGAGATCTGAGGATCTCCATTCAAAGCCAGCCCAGCAAGCTCTTATCTCCAATTAACCACCAAAAAGACAGAAGTAGATTTTGGCTCAAATGGTAGGTGTTATCCTTGAGCAAAAAAGCTCAGGGATAATGCCCAGGCCCTGAGTTCAAGCCTCAAGCTGGCACTCAGAAACACACACACACACACACAAACACACACACACACACACACACACACACACTCCTGATAATTCATTGTGAAG